TGGGTGCCCCTCGTTTTTTGGCGATTCTTTTTTGACTCCAAGGTCAGCACCAGGAAGACACAATTTCAAGATGGCCGCTACACAAAACTAAAATAAGAAGTCAAAGAATTGCATATACTCTGTGTCCATGTACACATCTATCTGTTTTCACTTAAAAAAATTTCCCAAAATTGCAAAATTTGACCATGTACACATCAATCTATTTTTATTTAAAAAAAAATCAGGAGGCTAAAGCAAAGTTAAACTATCATGGTAACCAGAAATGAGATTTCATCGCCAAAATTTTACAAAAAATTTTCGCTAATCAAAGGGGCACCCAATTCTACACTAGAGCTGTAAATTTATTTAAAGATGAGGGGGATCCAAAAGTGATCCAAAAGATGAGAGGGTTTCCCGATGAGATAAATTCAATATACATATACAGTCAAAAGTTGTTAATCCGGACTCTTCGGGACTTCGGCGATTCCGGATTATCGATTTTTCCGGATTATAGATCATCAGTTTAAATCTTGTTAGATGGCATGCAGAAATTCTAAAATTAAAAATATGAAACCGTAATTTATGAAATAAAGAACAATTATGATCTAAAGGGTATCAAAATTTGCAAAAAGAAAAAGCTTAATATTTATTTGTTTACTTTATTAAACATTTCTTTTAATGTAAGTTGTTTAAGTTTTGCTTCGTTTCATGTGATAATACTTTCTCTTTAATTCTATTAAACAGACATAATTTCTTGTTCAGTTACAAAGTTCCGCTGTTCAAGTCCTATAATTGCTGTATCAAGAACACCGACTAATTTGTCAATCGAAATTTTTTCGTTTTCAATAACCTCTGTCACTTTTCTTCGCTATTGGAAGTGAATTATAATGACGAGGAACTTGTTTTAAATCATATCAAAGACGGAGCATATCGAGATGAAATACTACATTTGGTAAGGAATTATAAGCCAAATAAAATAAAAACATCTGCCCTGAAGATAAAGATAGTGCTGACAGATCAACTTCCAATTCATTACGCGCCCGCCGCGCGGCGATCCCTCCGCCGAGCAGCGTGAAATTGATAAACAGATTTCGGATTTCAAAACATACTTTCGCTTTAGATCCTTTACATATTAACAAATATATATCGGAATTTCTATTTGATATAATCGAAAGTTTAAGCTTACTTTTATAAAATTGCTCTTACAGTCTGCAAAAAATAATAAGCCAGATCAAATTCGAAAATTAAGGAACAACGCAATCATCAACATTAACTGAAATAGATAATTAGATAATTTTATCTTATACGTCCATTATAATAAAACGCGCACGCGAAAACGTATTCTGCACTTGCGCACACTCATATGCGCAGTCGTAAAGGGTCTAACGCGTAAACGCCTATGCGCATGCGCAGAAAGTTTTTAGTTTGAGGTCCGGATTATAGATCATTCCGAATTATGGGTGTCCGAATTAACGACTTTTGACTGTAATAAGCATCCAATATAATCCTACCTAAAAATTCCCGACTGACGATACTAATTGTATACAAAGAACATGAGAAGATAATGCATGGAGGAATTGCTGCAACTTTAGCTAAAGTCAGATCATGTTTCTGAATTCCTAAAGGATGCCAGTTAGTCAAAAAAGCATTAAAAGGTTTTATGATTTGCTAAAAATATTTAGCTAAACCAGATCAAAGATCATTTAGCTAAAAAAAAATCCTATATTGTTTTGTTCGTTTGTGCAGTAACCCGAGCTGTACACTTAGAACTTGTATCAGATATGTCAACAGAGCCTTTATACTTGTATTTCGTAGATTTTTGAGCAGAAGAGGAAACTGCATAATCATTTACTCTGACAACGCCAATTGCTCATAATTTAAGAGGACAAAGAAAGAACTTGAGAATTTTTCAAAAGTTTTAAAAGATTACAAATTCAAGAATTTCATTGCCAAAGAAAGAATTTATTGGAAATTTATAATCGAGCGAGCCCCATGGTGAGGAGGCTTTTTATGAGAGACTTGTCAGATCTGTTAAAGAATGTTTAATAAAAATCATGGGGAAAGCATTGTTGACCTTCAAAGAAATGTCTACACTACTTATTCAAGTGGAGTCAGTTCTTAATTCACGACCTCTAAGCTATGTTTACGACAGTGAGCGCCACAACCCTTGACTCCAATGCACTTCCTAAACATTGGACAAACTGATTTGAAGTATCCTTTGACATTTTCTAGAATCATCAGTAGCGAAACGACAAGAGAAACACTGTTAAAAAGAAAACATTATCAAGAATTGCTCTTAAAACAGTTGTGGTGCAAATGGAAGCAACAATGTTTATTAGATCTTAGAACTGCTCATTTCTTGAAGAATCAGAAACTTCAACCAGAACTAAAAGTAGGAGATGTTGTTTTAGTTGAAGGATACAATAAAAACTTATAACTGTTATGGAAACTTGGCAGAACCATAAAAACTATTCCTGGACGTGAAAGTCCAATCATTCGACTTAAAAACTGCTAATGGAACTTTAAAACGTACTGCCCAACATCTATTATCCTCTTGAACTTTAAATATTTTGAACTTTAATGATTTGTTATGCATTTCTCTTTCTTTTCTTTTTTTTCCCCCTATTAATGATTAAATTGAATATCGTTAGTTAAGTTTGCTTAGCTAAGTTGAAAATATTTTAACAAATTTAGTTCATTTATTGGTTATAACATTTATTAATTGATACAGGCTGTGTATAACCTGTTAACCTGTTTTGTAATTGAAGTTTTTGACTAATTATAATTTTTTGTATTTTATAGAATAGTGATTAATGTACATGATTGTAGGTATAACTCAGTTAGATGAACTCTTGTCAAAGTTTCAGGTGGGGAGTGTGTTAAGGAATATTCTTTGATATCGCCAAGAGATGGCATTAGAAGTCCATCTATTGGTTTACTTAACGCTTCCCTTTCTGATCACGTGACTTGCAAAACATTTTGAATTTGAGGAGTTAGTTTTCTCTGAAGTAAAGTTCGAACTTCATTGTGCCGTTTAATACAGTTACTTTACTAGTTCATTGTAGGCTTTACTTATACAATTATTAATTGAGGTGCACCAAGTCTACTGGGCCAAATTTGATTACATTGGATGTGTTAAAAATATGAATTTTATGTATGTTTTCATATTTTATATACTCATTTGCAGAAAATAATAAACAGAATATTGTTTGATAGTTAATAATAATATAATATTAGCTATCAAGGAATTTGTAGTTTGAGTCATATAATAATATTTTATAATTATTGCAGTATTATCTGTTTGATAAAGTATATATATTACAGTTTTAAACATGTGCCATTTATCCCATTTATATCTTGATTTAAAATTCCTATTAAGTGGGAAACTAGTGTATTTGATATTTTCGTTTATTTTATTGTCATTGCTATACGAGCAAAATTTCTGGAACTATTTTCAAAAACAATGTAATAAAATTTCATCATTTCGAATTTAAAATAATTGGAACATTTCTTTATCTTTATAAATTCCGTGCTGTGAAATGAATTCAGACTTATTTTAGGTACTTTTTAACTATCTGCACTCCCTGGTTTCAACATTTGGTATAGTTGCCTACTTTTGGCATATTTTCATATATATGAACATATACAGTCAAAAGTCTTTAATCCGGACTCGTCGGGACTTCGCCGATTCCGGATTATCGATTTTTCCGGATTATAGATCATCAGTTTAAATCTGGTAAGATGTCAAGCAGAAATTATAAAATTAAAAATATGAAACCGTAATTTATAAAATAATGAGCAATTATGATCTAAAGGGTATCAAAATTTACAAAAAAAAAGAAGCTTAATATTTATTTGTTTACTTTATTAAACATTTCTTTCAACGCAGGCATGCGTAAAGCATACCTTATGCATAGTCGAAATTAGAAAATTGCAACCAGAAAACTATTTGATTTGTATTCGTGATATTTATAATGACGAGGAATTTGATTTAAATCATATCAAAGACGGAGTACATCGAGATGAAATACTACATTTAGTAAGGAATTATAAGCCGAAGTAAATAAAAACATCTGCCCTGAAGATAAGGATAGTGCTGACAGATCAACTTCCAGTTCATTGCGCGCCGCGACGTCCCCCCCCCCCCGCGCAGAGCAGCGTGAAATTGATAAACAGATTTCGGAATGGTTAGAGAAACAAAGGATATGCCTTTATCCATTTTTTGCAGCAATTTCACTTTTTGTTTGATGGACATCGAAACATACTTTTCGCTTTGTAGATCCTTTGGGAGCTCCAGCATCGGAAAATGTATTTGACATAATCCAAAGTTCAAGCTTACTTTTATAAAATTGCTCTAACAGTCTGCAAAAAATAATAAGCCGGATCCAATTCGAAGATTAAGGAACAACGCAATCTGCAACATTAAATGAATTAAATAATTAGATAGTTTTAACGTATACCATACGTTTTACATTAAACGCGCATGCATAAACGTATTATGCGCATGCGCACATGTATATTCGCACCCGTAAAGGTCTTACGCGCACGCCTATGCGCATGCGCAGAAAGTTTTTAGCTTTGAGGTCCGGATTATAGATCATTCCGGATTATGGGTGTCCGAATTAACGACTTTTGACTGTATATGCTATTACAAATAGCTTGCACATACACATAACACATACTTGTTTCAGTACTTATGCAGTTATACACTTTATATTAAGCAGTTATTTCACTAAACAATAGCCTCCCTTGTAAAAATGTAAATATTATATAGATTTTTGCTTTTTCTCATGAAATTTGTTTCTTATAAAATGCTTCTTTTATATTATTATTTATGAGCAAAACATTACAGCTACAAAGATATGCAAACAAATATTTTTTGCCAGTTCACAAAGTCACCAATGAAGGTGTGGTTAATCAGAAAGTACTTTTTTTTAATTAAAAATTAATTTACTTGCATTTCATATATGAGTTTTAAAATTCTCATATTAATGTATATATTTTTTTCTTTTTATTTCCAGGCAATTTTACATCTCCAAATGATTTAAATCTACTACTTGCAAAAAATACTAGACTAGAAATTTATTTGGTAACACCAGAAGGTTTGAGAGCTTTGAAAGAAATCAGCATCTATGGACGCATCACAGTTATGAAACTTTTCCGGCCACCGGTATGAATAAGAGATAATCTTATATTTTCCTCAAGTAAAATATAGTTGAAATTAAAATAACTTGAAAAAATATTATGTATGTATTTGTAATTTAAGCATTAGTAGAAATGATAGAAAGTATATATTGGCATATCCTGAGCAGAAAGGAAAATATATAAATTAAATCAACTCATAAACTAGTAAAGATCTAGATTTCTTGAAAGTATATTACAGTCAACAAAAGTAAGTAATGGTGGATGTAGCATTAATGGAAAACAGATAGTTTTAAAGCAGGGTTAACCTTAGGTTTTTTAAGGGGGAAAAGTAAGAAGTGTTTATCTAAAATACATTGCTCATCAGAATTAAATGATATTAAGAAGAAGAATATTTAACTGTTACATATTGAAAAACTGTTAAGAGAATTTCTGCAAAAGTATTATTTAACATAAGTTACCATATTTGGCAGTTGGTTAGTCTCAAAATGTTGAATTTCAAGTCAAATTTATAAAAATTTAAAAATAATGAAAAAAATATCTCCTGTTTTGAAACAAATATTATTTTAATATAGTATATGGTCACTTGTGATGGAAATGCAAACCTCAGATCTTGATTTCATAAAGTTTACCAAAGTATTGGTTGAGTCTTGTGCAATTGCATCCCATTCTTCTGAAAGTAGACTTTTCAGGTCCTGGAGGGCAAGACAGGCATTTGGTTAGGAGGCTTAAGGTTTACCATATATGCTGAATTGGTTTCAAATCTGATGCACAAGCTGTCAATTTATTTATGTAATATCTTCTGTTTCTAAGTGTTCTGATGCCAGAGATGTTCAATGCAAATGAGTATTGCAATCCATTAGCAAAAATCTGGACCAAAAGAACCCTAAGCAGTCACACATGAAGTTCCAAGACCTCGTCTACATATCTATGACCAGTTACAGAACCTCCATCAAAGTAGCTAGACAGTTTTGATGGTTACAATTCAAACTATGAAATTATTTTTGTCGAAAGGGAATCTTTTATAAATGAAGGAAAACAAATTCATATTCCTTGTTCCCTCCAGATCAAAACATATCTTGAATCACCATTCAAGCAGTATCTAGATTTGTCAGTAAATTGTCATATTCATGATCACATTCTTCTTGACTTCATTGAACATGATGACCCCAACACTTTAATGTGGCTCCTTTAAAAGATGAAATGAGTGAAGTCTAACATATATAGCATAACATTAGTGGTGCTTCGTTCTTATGAAAAGAAGGAAAAGAGTTTAGGCAATATTGCCCATTACTCTTCCGCCATTTGATCATTTAAATCAAAGGATTTAAATGGTAACTCCCGTGAAAGGTAAGTAATAAATAAATAGATAAGATCCCAAACTGACACCAAATCTATAGTATCAGCAAAAGATCCCATCTCTAAATTCAGGGTGTCGGTTGAGTCGTGAAAACTTCCCTATTGGATGAAGAGCTGATTCAATCCCTCCCAAACCACCAAATGCAAATTCTTGACCAAACAAATGTGCAATGGCGAGTCAAAAAAAAAATAAATAAATAAATAAATAAATAAGGAGGGCAGAGGTGCTTTCTCAAGCCAAAATGGCCAGGTAGTATATAAAGATTTGATATCTATTTCCAAATTATATTCCAAAACACAGCTATAAGAGGGAAATCCCTGCATAATTTCTTTTCAAAAAAAAAAAAAGAAAAAAAAAAGAACTCGCAGGGCATCTCAATGCTTGTTTCTTGTGGTTTCAAATTCACCTGAGTGAAGTCTAACTTCACGAAACCTTCACGTGGCGGTAGAATGACTAATTTGAATTCCTGTGACTGATTGAAAGTCTAAAATCAGCTTTCTTGTAGTTGCTTCATGGTTTCTTCAATTCAGCACTGACAAAAAAGGGTCTCTAAATGCTATAGTTGCTTTTGGCTGTCCTTGACCAGGCTGTCTAGCTAACTGATTTATTGTTTAAAAATTGTTGAAGGAATTGATTCATTGCTTAGAAAGCTGTACCAAGTTCTTGCCTTAAGGGATATATATGTTCTCTATTTGTTGCTCTCATTTATCCACCACTTTTATGTTGTGGCTAAATTTAATTTATTTGACTGCTAGAACCTAGAAGAACTGTGCAGCGACTTTTCACTGTTTGTATAAGTAACTTCTCAGGACAAGGGTGAAAATAGCCTTTTATTTTAACTCTATTCAGAGAGACATATTTCAGCATACAGGAAGCCAGCACTTGTGGCTTGAACTTAATTAGAAAAACATAAGCAAAACAAATGCTAAATAGAGTAATCATCCTAAGCTGCACAAAATTGTTAACATGTAGTTGGCTCTTAGCTAAAATCACCAGCATAGACTAAGAGGCACATAATAAGCACAACCATAAAATAGAAAGCTTTAACTTGTAACAACAGCATGGCCGAAAGGCAGAACACATTTTAATTGAAGTAGCTCAGACCTCAGCTTAAATAGTAATTCTACCTTATTTTGCATATAACTTAAAACTGATCAGGTTCAGTATGTACTGTCCAGACTGATACAGATTACATTCAGGCTTAGTACTACAAATTAAAATATGTCAGTGAACAGATAATACAGTATCCATAACAAATTGTTGAAGCTGATGTTCTTAAAAGGGCTAATTATTAGAGATAGTTCTCTTTTTGAGTGTATTGGATAAACCCACTAAAACACTGGCAGTTCATCATTGGAAGTAACTACGTTTCTACAAAAAAATTATTTATGAATTGGTTGTTGTGGGTTACACAAGATATTAATTTTTGATTGTTGCAGGTTGTCCTGAGATATTAATTGAAAACTAAAAAGACTAGTTTGGTAACAAAAAATTTATTTATGGATTGGTTGTTGCAAGTTTTGCAAAATATGAATTTTTGATTGTTGCATGTTGTTGCAAAATACTAATTAAAAATTCTGAAAATGCTAATTTGCACAAAAAATTTATTTACGAATTGGTTGTTTGCTTGAAAAGCCTGCTCATCTGGTGGGCTTGCCTGTTGGTAACTAACTAAAAACAGTAAATCATATACTGTATAGTTACTGAAATTTTAATAGATTTCTTTTTGGTAATTAAGCTTGCATCTGAATAAACTCAATTTTTTTCCTTAAAAAGTAGTCAGTTATATCAAATAAGAATGTAAATAATTCCTCAGTGTTTGCTAAGAAATAAACCTAGAACCAAACAGTATTTAGTAGTTTTTACCTATTTGGCTGATATGCTGAGTCTAGAATCAGAGTACAATTTTTTTTTTTTTTTTTTTTTCCCCTGAAATGGCCGAGTACTTTATTTAAGAACCGTTAGCCTTGCACCACTACAAGGGTCGGAGGTGGTGGCCATTTCATTATGGAAGCACCTAATAGATGGCCACCGTTGCCTCCTATGAAGAGACGGACAATTTTAGCCTTGCCTTCTCCAGGATTTGAACCCAGGCCGATCCCTATGGCAGTCAAGGTTACTGACCACTATACCAGTGAGTGTATTATAGTAGGTAAAAGAAAAATTCTTAACCTTTTTTTTATGTTTTAATTCATTCTTATATGAAGTATAAGCTTTTTATTTTTGGTTTGGGTACTGTGTTTTTGCTTAATATTGTTTCATTTCCACCTAGAAGCTTTATTTCTTTTTATTTCTTTGTTCCTTTGATGACTGCTTTTCGTAAGACCTTTTTTTTTTTTTTTTTGTGTGTGTGTGTGTGTGTGTATGCAAGGTGTACTTGTATTTTTAATGTAAATTATCTCTACTGTACTTTATTTTGCCATATTTTTTCTGTAAATGAAAATAAGCAGACAGCAGGGCTTTCCATTAAACAAAGGCCAGGCTAAAGTTCTGCTTATTTTTAAAGTTGGCATGCATATTACTTTTGTATAGTGAATTATTATTAAGCTGTATTTTAAATTCTAGGGTGATGTAAAAGACTTCTTATTCATATTGACACACAAGTACAATGCTGCTATCTTGGAATGTGTTAATGAAGGAGAAAATATGGAAATCGTTACTTTAGCGCATGGAAATGTTTCTGTATGTGAAATTATGCTGTTACATATTTAAATTCTTATTAGTTTTATTTTTTTTTATGTGTTTGTGTATTATGCTATTAAATAAGCATTTTTACTGTGCATTATCAGACTGAATATTTGAATGTAAAATAATAATTCTAACTAAACTCTTTCTAATATATCCAAACATGTAGTTAACAGGCAAGGCATTTCAGTGTTTTTAATATATCATCGTTTTTATTTCAACTGAAAAATATATTGTGTACTTTTATACTCTAGGTTTTTATGTATATCTGTAATATTAATTGTATTATTTGTAAAAAAGTATAAATAATTTTTATATTATAGATTTTTATGTATATCCATAGTGTGAATTATTCTTAAGTGATGTACTGAAAATACCTTATGTATTCTGTCTTCCAATCCCAAAAATCATTTTTTTAAAGCCTTTATTTTCTAACTGATAAATAATGCTTTTCTGTAAAAGACCAAATGTGTAAGTTAAAACAAAGAAGAAACATGGTATCTGCAGTGAATTTAATTGATATTAAATAACAAAGTTTACCTGCTCAAAAGCATATAAGGATTTGCAGTTTTAGGGTCTTTCGTGTCAAGATGCTGGTATTGTAAGCGGTCATATCAAATTTGTTATTCAAAACTTGGTAAAAATATACTTAAGAGTGCTCCTTAATGATTTTTGGCACCAAATTTGTGGAATTCTTTGACTAGTTATTTTGGCTTTGGTAAAAAATCGACGCTACACAAATTGAAAATAACAAGTCAAAGAATTGCACAAACTTGGTATCCATATACACATTGACATATTTTCACTTAAAAAAAAAAATTCAGAGAATTGCACAAAATAAGCATTGTGCACTTCCTTGACTTTGTCCATGTACACATCAATTTATATTTATTTAAAAATGTCAGAGGAGCAGCCAACAAAAAATATATAATCTCAATAAACAGCATTTTAAATCAAACAGTGAAATAATATAAAAAAGGAAATTCATCTTAGCACTACACAAAGGAAATATCCACTTACCTTATTTACAAATATTGCCGTCTTCATTCAAGCAAAATTTCTTAATGGCATCCAAAAACTTCCTAAAATTATCTGAACTAGAATCTGTATACTGGCATTGCCACATAAATTCATTAAAATAAGAGTAAAAAATATCCTCCGTAGTGCCAGTATCCTCCGACGTTCGGCCATATGCATTTCTCTCGTACAAACAGGACGCTTATAATGGCTACTAAGTAAACCTTCATTTACACACGAATCAATTAATGTTTTTTCCCCTTTCGTTCTAAATTATACAGAAACTTAATCTTACCACATTCAGCCATTTTACCGTGTGAACCACTGAATAACAACGTACTTGTTATCCAAAATCCGACACGCAAGCAAGCCTTTCCAAATCTTTTCCCATCATTTATATTCACCATAATAATGCAATCAATTATGTCATGATAGGATTTCCACAGCATTCAACTACTCAGGTTACCATAAATAAAAGAACAACTTGGTGATAAGTGAAGCAACAACTTAGCAGTAATCCAAGGGGCACCTTTAAATCTACTCTAAGCCAAAACTTTAGTGAGATATCGATGGTGGTTGCTGTTGTGAAGAGTCATCAATATAGTTGCTGAAGCTTTTGTAGTTTTCCTTATAATTTACATGTAACTTAAGCACAAGCAAGTTTTGTCTTTTAAAAAGTCTTTTTTTGAAAGCAGCACTTTCTAAGCAAATAGAGTATCAAGTGTCTTGAATCATTCATGATTTTTTGCAAAGCTACAATAAATCATAAATGACTTTAAAAGGGTACTTGCTTAGGTGTGTGAAAGACCATTTTGATAAAAATAATTTTAGAAAAATACCTATTTGGGAAAAAGTATGGGTAAGGAATTTTATTCGCTTTTGATGTTTATCTGTTGAAAGTGTAATTATATTTTTATTAGTTTGTACATTTGCTTAATTATGATGCTTCTCTTTCAGAAAATCTGTTTTAATTATATCAGCTTTTTTAATATTAATATCCATTAAAAGCTTTATAGTCTATAAATTTAATTTAATATTTTATGGACTATTATGTATATGATGTTTCAGAAATATAGCTATGTGTTTAAATTAAAGATACGTACCTATTAATACACCACCTAGGCACATTTGGGGGATTTTTTACACAAGAAAAAAATTGCTTACTTAATTTTTTTTTTAATTATTCATTATATATACCTATAAGATGAAAAATGTATGGCATTACTTTCCCATTGTGTCAACTTATTATTAGAATATTTTGAATCTGAAAAATAAGCAAGATAATAAATCCTATAAAGCATAATTTTCGAAACACTTCTTAGGAAAAGCGCACTAGCTATTATAATTATTTTTAAATGTCTTATATAATTTTTCATGGTAAGAGTTTTCTGCCGTGTATAATAGTCTCAGCATTTTCAGAATGTAGATAAGTTTTCTATATAAAATTCATTTTACACTTTTTTTTTTAACTTCTGTCTTCTTGTTACTAAATTGGTAGGGATAATTTTTCTTTCGTATTTTAGACATTGCACCTTGGAAAGTTTAGAAGTATTTGAAGGCAAGATTTGTAGACCTGCGATTCCAGAAGATTCCAAATTCAGCAAATTTGTCAGTACAGGAAACTCTTCTAAGGCCGTGATGTTCATTGAAATTGTGAGGATACTGTATAGTTAGGAAGGAATATGTCATGAATGATGAAGCCTGTAAAAGTGTAGCTATTTTATCTTCACTTAACTACCCATCTAATGTAATCCCACTGAAAGCATCCCTGCAAGTTACGGCAATTCGAATAAATAGTACAGGAAACTCTTCTAAGACCTTAATGTTCATTGAAATTGCGAGGAAACTCTGTAGTTAGGAAGGAATATGTCATATGTCATGAATGATGAAGCCTGTAAAAGTGTAGCTATTTTATCTTCACTTAATTACCCATCTAATATAATCCCACTGAAAGCACCCCTGCAAGTTACGGCAATTCGGATAAATACAATAACATTAATGATATGCTCTCTACTTGCCACCTAATAAGAACATAGATCAGTGATATATAGATGATCTCATGGAGCAGCTACCTGCTCCTTTTCTACCTTTAGGAGACTTTAATGGTCATAGTCCTTTATGGGTAAGTGGCACAAACTCGCATAGACTACAGATAGAGCAACTGATAGGTGATCATTTCCTCTGCCTCCTAATAATGATGAGGAAACCTACTTCCACTAGCCATTGACAATATTCCATACAGTTGACCTTGCCATTTGTTCACCAGTCTTCTTACTTTTAGTGTCGGAAATCATTCCTTTAACAGCAATCATTTTCTCCATCTTCATATCTATCGCAAGAGAAGCTAACTTTCCCGTTGGATATCTTTACTGCTAATGCTACAGTAACACAAGGACTGATGAATAATCTGCGAAAAGATGAAACAGTTCAGGTTGTTACCAATAAAATTCTTCAAGCAGCTGAAACCTCTATCTGCAGAAAAGTTACCAAAATATTCAAAGCTGTGGTGGAATCGGGAATGCTAAGGCACTCTCAAGGAACAGAGGAGGGCTTGGGGAATTTTTTCCTAGATACCCCACTTTGTCAAACCTTAGAGTCTTTAAAAAAGCCCAAAGCAAATGCAAGAAAAGTGCGATGGTGGAGTCAGAGGGATTCATGGATAGCCCCTATGTGTCTGAAATAACATGTTCTATGCTAAGTACTCGCTTTCCATTCTGGAAAAAGATGGCTAATGATTAGCAACACAGAAAAATTGTGAATACTATTAATTAATTAAATTGGCTTCTCCTACAAATGATTTTATGTTTGAATTGTGTCAGGCAGCATTTTCCCCACTTTTTTACATGTAATATATAGCTGTAAATGGGAAGGGGCTGTTCTGATAAACTTTGCATGCAAGTACCTTAGGACTAAACATGCAAATCCCTAGAATCATGGCAATAGCTAGTGAGTGAGTAAAGTGATCTACCATAGAACATAGAAAGTATGTATTAATGAAGGTATATTATGAGAAAAAGATTGAAAATAAGAGCACTTTCATAGAACGATAAAGTAACTAAGTGAGGTTAATAGCTGCAGATCATTGCATTCAAAAAAGCCAGTTGTCCAAATATAAGTATAGGAACCCAGAGACCGCATTAAAATCTTAGTGCCATAGAGCTTTAGATTGGAAAAGTATTGGCAGTGGAGGCTCATAACAGATAGCAGCACTATGCACTGAGGCATGACTAATTTTAATCTCACTTGTATGATTCATTATGAATTTTTACTTCTTTATGCAAAACAAGTATTGTAATGATGAAAATTTTTGGACATCGTATTTCAATAGAAATATTGATTTTGACTTCTTTTTAGTGTGGCATCTCTACATACGGACAGGATAAAGGACTTTTTCCCAAAACAGATTGTAAAGTGAATTCAAAATGGATTTTTTTCCCTTGACATCTGTATATATGTATGTATCTCACAAAACTTAAAATTATTAGCCGTAGAACATTGAAATTTTGTATATGGGTCTGCTATAACATCTAGTTATGCACCCCCCTTCTTCAAATGTGCTACAGCCCATTAAAAGCCAAGGCATTTCAACAAGCTTCCTCCAACAGATCCGATCAGTTACTATGGGCTGCCAATGATTGATTTTTAAGCCTAAGATTTAAGATCTGTCCCCATGCAGTCTATCCATCTTGTATGGGGTCTTCCTCTTTTCCTGGTACTCTGTACACTTGTAAAGGTCACCTTTTTAGTAGGGTTCAAGTTCTCATATTTAGAAATATACCTAAGCGACCTGATACAATGTGATTTGATGACTCGGACAATATTTAGCTGTCTGTATCTTCTATAAATTTCATGATTAAATATAAAGTTCTCTGTCTATAAAGTTCTCTGTCTGGGCCATATATTTTTCAGAGTATTTTTCTTTCAAAAATTAAAAATCTTTTTTTTATCTATTTTTGTTCATGGCCATTATTCATTAACATACAATATGATAGGTATAATAAGAGAGGTACAGTACAAAGTCTTTAATCCGGACTCTTCGGGACTTTGGTGATTCCAGATAAAGAGGTTTTCCAGATTATAGATCATCAATTTAAATCTGGTAAGATGGCATGCAGAAATTATAAAATTAAAAATATGAAACCGTAATTTATGAAATAAAGAGCGATTATGATCTAAAGAGTATTAAAATTTACCAAAAAAAAATTAATATTTATTTGTTTACTTTATCAAACATCTCTTTCAATGTAAGTTGTTTAAGTTGCTTCATTTTATGTGCTAATACTTTCTCTTTAATTCTACAAACAGACATAATTTCTTGTTCAGTTACAAAGTTCTGCTGTTCAAGTCCTGTAATTGCTCTGCCGAGAATACTGACTAACTTGTCAATCGAAGTTTTTTCGTTTTCACTAATCTCTCTGTCACTTTCTTCATGCCTTTATCCATTTTTTGCAGCAATTCTACTTTTTGTTTGATGAACATCGAAACATGCTTTCGCTTTGTAGATCCTTTGGCAGCTCCAGCATCAGAAACTCTTTTTGACATAATCGAAAGTTCAAGCTTACTTTTTATAAAATTGCTCTAACAGTCTTCAAAAAATAATAAGCTGGATCAAATTAGAAGATTAAGGAACAATGCAATCTGCAACATTAACTGAAATAAATAATTTTAGCCTAGCTTATACCGTCCGTTATATATTAAACGTGCATGCGTAAACGTATTATGCGTTTACGCATGCGCAGTATGTTTGTACTTTGAGGTCCGGATTGTAGATCATCCTGGATTAAAGACTTTGTACTGTATAAAGATTTATTTTTGTCTTGAAGTTTAACAACATAGACATCAATAAATTCTTTAAACCATAACATCTATTTGCAGCAAATAAACTATTATCAATTTCAAGTTTAATATTGGTATCATTAGAGATGATAGTACTGAATTACGTTAACTGAGCAACACCCATGATGTATAAGAATTTACATACCCGATCTTTATTTTCGTGATCATTTGTCATATTGATATACTTCCAATTACAGAATTGTTTTAAATGAAAAAATATTCAGGTTTTGGTAGTGTCATATTTAAAAAAAAAAAAAAAAAACTGAAAGCTTTCAGATTTGAAATTATACCCAAAAGAGCCTTTTTTAAATGTTTTGTATGTCACCTTTATTTATTTAATATCATGTCCTTCACACTTAAAAACACATAAAATTCAATTCAACTGCAATATCAAGAAATATTTAAAAACATTATATCTTTAGAATTTCCAATACACAGTCTCATGCACTGGAGAATTTTTTTTTTTTTTTTCTTCTGTACAGTGTTGCCATTGCTCGCTTTGAAATTGTTAGTTTGTTGATCAAAAAATCATTAAAGTTTTACTGAATTTTAAAGAGATAATAAAAAAAAAAAAATTCAAAATTCGGGCTTCCAAGTGCCTATGCTCGGTTGGAGGAGTACGTTATTCAAAATTTGATGGCTGTGGGTACCATTGTTTCTTCCCAGTGTGAGAAACATTCATGCAGATTCTTCCATTATTTAGTTTCTTTAACTATAATACATGGTGATAATATTTGGTGGTAGCAGTTTGAAAAATGAACACAAAATGCTGTTTTAAAATTAATAGTTCTTCTGAGTTAAAAAAAAAAAAAAAAGAGAGAGACAAATAACAAAATCTGACTTTTAGTGCGCTTTCCGGGTCCTGTACTTAAATTTGGGAAAATTTTATGCGACTTATGAAAAAATAAAAATACGAGAAGTTTGACTCCCACTTAACAAAATCAACCAGAATATTTAATTTCAAAATTTACAATTTTTGATGTCATTTTCAGTTTGCTTAAGGAATCAGGTAATTAAGTTAAACCTAATTCAATTAAATAGGTTTAAATGAGATGCAGCAAAAAATATGTAAAATTTAATACTCTGTACCAGGAAGTCGTGGTGTCCACGTCAGATACTTTTTATATGTTAAGGTGTATTTAAAATTAAATTTTTGTTTATTTTGTTAGATCATAAAAATATTTACTATGAATTGTTTAAATTTCTTGCAGGATGCTATTGCTCGACCATCAGAAACTGGAAGTATTGGGATAATTGATCCTTTGTGTAAAGTGATTGGTTTGAGACTATATGATGGCTTATTCAAAATTATTCCACTAGATAGGGATATTAAAGAGCTGAAAGCATTTAATTTGAGGTTTGTTACTGTAGAGCATAATTAATTTTCTGATTTTTATAGTGAATAATATGCAGTTATTTGATATAATTAAACATGGGGTATGGTAAAGGGAATTTTGTATAAATTAGTAGACAAAAATCTATATTTTTGATGTCAGATTAATGCCTAAAATCATTTAAAAATTTACAGTTTGCTGCAGTTGAGGAATTTGATGTTTTATTAATTGTTTAACATATAATGATAGGCTAACACATTGTGTGGATTTATAGCTCTTTGCATATTAATGTAATCTTTTGTACATAACTTTGTCATGGAGGCTCTATAGTATTTCAGGATATGATTCCTTGTTTTATTATGGGCAGACTGTGATAAATAAATGAATGCATCATGGTTAAGAAGAGTATTTTTCTTTGAAAAGACTGAATTTTAAATTATATCTGTAGCTTCATGTTTCAGCATGTTCTTTTAGCCGAAATATTTTATGTTGCTGTTGTGACTTATCTCATCAGTAGCATCAGATCAGTTCTCTGAAATCAGAGCAAGCCCATAAATTATATCTTAACAAGGGTTCAAGATTGCACCTGTTGTTGGTAAGAGCTTTCAGTACTATACAGGTGACAGTATGACTTTGCCAAGTTCCACTCCTAATTTTGATGTAGAACACCCCAAGCAGACAGATCCAAAGGTCTCCTAAACCTTCTCTACTACCAATCTTTTGAAAGGACTTTCAGCTCGGCACATATTTAGAGTGCCCTCATGCCACACAGGCTTTATACAGTAACAAACATCCATGCTTGCTCTGGGATTCGAACCCATAGCCCTTTGGTATGGCAGTCAGCATCATTAATTGCTATATAAGCCAAGCGGTGAAATTTTTTATTTGGTTATGTAACTCAATGATTCATTACTGAATCTCAATTCTATTCATGCTTATCTGTTAATAGTTTGAATATAAATTTTTGGACACGTGTTTCATATTATGATCTGGACAAAATGATATGAATTGATTCAAAAGAAATTATTTAATAGTGTAAATTTCTCTAATTGTCAATTTTTATTCAGAACTGTTTGATCTCTGATAACTCTTTTGACCTCTGATATCTGGCATGAGAAAAGTATTTATTAGCATTCCATTGTTTATTTAATAGAAATTGAGTTTCCCTCAGTAAGTGCTAAAATTTGTCTAAAATGTGGTGATCTGTTCTGAAATTAAGTCATTAATTGAGGCACCATAGCAATTATCAAATCTGGAGCTGTTTTGAAGTATTATAGACTCATCATGTGCATTTTGTAAACAAAACAAAACTAAAAGGATATGAAATTTGAGTGAAATTGGCAGGAGGTTCTTAAGTTTCAGAATCTATGTTTAATGAACTAACCTCGATGAAATGTGCTTCAAGTTATAATGAAAATTAGAATATTTTTCTTATTTTAATTAACTTTATTTGCTTATATTTTTGAATAATCGTTCTTTCTTCATGTTTATTTACTATTATTGCCAATATGTAAAATATACTATATGTCAAAACTCAGGGTTCATATGGTCCTTAGGTTTTTTAGAATCAAATTTTTTTTTTTTTTGGTTCCTTAAAAATCCTTTATCTAGTTCAAAATCGGTAGATGATCCTTAATTTTAATCATCTAAAATTTCAGTCGATTTTTAAGACTGCCATTTTAAGTGCAAATTAGCATTTTGGAGGAATATTTATGGTAATTCACTGACATATATAGTTATTTTTTTAATTTCTTCCTATTTCTATAAATAGTGTGATACTCGAGTTTCTAGGCAAGAAATAGGCATTTCGAAATTGTTTCTTTTATCTAATGGAAAGCTCTTAAGCAACTTTTCCTTTTTGGGGATGTGAATTCTTTTATTAAACGGTTCTAAATTTGTCTACTTATCAACATTTTTGCGGCTGAGCGGTAAAGTCGCTGAACACTGGTAGTTCGGTCCGAGGTTCGAATCCCACGAACGGGCTGGCTGCATGGGTGTTTTCGTGGTTTTCCCCATGTGTAACATGTATACGAGCCAGTTTCCCTTAGAAAGTCCTCCACGAAGTCATCCCTCCCCTTAGGCAGATAGCCCTAGTGAGCTTTGCCATAATTAAATACACCACAACACCGCAACATTTTTGCGATTTTAAGATCAAATTTATATACAAAATTTTTAATTTGAAGATCTTTGAATTTCTCAACATTTTTGTTTAGAACATTGTAACATTAATAAATTTCATTAAAACAATGGTAATATATTAAAATGATATTTAAGAAATAACATTGAAACAAAACATTTTTATTTTTCCCTGCTAAATTATAAAGTATTACTTTTCATTTTGGCAACTTATCACAATATTTTGAATATGAAAATAAACAGGCTAATAAATGCTAAAAAGCACAATTTACAAAACAGTAGTAAAAGCAAAATAGTTGCATAATTATTTTAAAATGACTTCTTTTTTATTTTTTCATGGAAAGAGTTTTCCCCATGTAATTAATTGTCTCAGAATATTCAGAATGTGCATCAGTCCCCCCCTTGTAAAATTCATTTAATATTTTTTTTATATGTGAATTTTTTTTTTTTTTTTTTTTTCAAATACTTTTAGCTTTTTACTGTTACAGAATTAGTGTTGGTAATTATTCTTTTGGATTTTAGACATTGTACCTTGGAAAGTTTATAAGGATTTGAAGGCAAGATTTATAGACCTAAAATTCTAGAACATTCCAGAAAAATGTGACAAAATGAAAAATGTCTTCATAGTATTAACTCGTAATGGATGTACTTTACAGAATGTCTGTGATGAATTTCTTATTGTTTGGAGAATTTTTAGAAGAATAATAAAAACATAATACAGTACAAAGTCCATAATCCGTACTCGTCGTGACTTTGGCGATTCTGGATTAGGGGTTTTTCCAGATTATAGATCATCAATTTAAATCTGGGAAAATGGCATGCAGAAATTATGCAATTAAAAATATGAAACCATAATTTATGAAATAAAGAGCAATTATGATCTAAAGAGTATTAATATTTGTTTGCTTTATTAAACATTTCTTTCAATGTAAGTTGAGTTACATGTATTTTAAACTGTGAAATTTTATTAGATTTTGATTTTAATGGGGCTTTTTTTAACAGATATTGTTGAAAAATAAAATTTAGTAGTGGTCATGTAAATCCATAATGACTAAGGTTATCAAACTACCTACCTTTCATTAATACTCATTGTGGCCACGAGATAGAATATAAAAATGTAAAAATTCAAGTAAAACATATTCTAATGCATCTACTGAGACTTAAAATAATACAAAACAACATATCACCTCTGGTGCTTTAATGGCTTATTGGAACCTTAAAGTATATTAACTGGGTTACAATTCCTGGAACTGTAAACGAAACTAACTGCATCAAACAGAGCCTAACTTTCAACACTTGCTAACCTTGCCTACATCAGGCCTTTCATGTTCTAATCAGCAGGTCTCTCTCTAGACAAGCAGCAGCGGTGACAACATTTAGTCTTTTGGTTATGAATTATGCTGATTATGATCTTACTTCTTATTTTAACCTATGCAGTTTGACATAAAAATCTACCTGCTTATTTACTAAACCTCTACACTGACCAAGTATGTGACAAAATGAGCCATAAAAAAAAATTAACATAAAGCTAACTGTTAGTAAAACGTAAATGTCACTTATCTTCTTTCAAATATGACCAACTATCATAAGTGTAAAATATTTAGTGCTACTTGATAAATTGCAAGTTTATTTTGTTCTCAAACTTATTAACAATTATGTTAATTAATTCATGTTTAGTAATAATGCGTACTACTTAGGGATCTATTTTATTTTTAGGATGGTATTACAAAAGTGAAATTCAGGCATAGATAATATCTTTAATTGAATTTATGCACTTCCAATTTGTTGATAGGTCCTTAATGTTTTTTTTTTTTTTTTTCCTTTAATGGCCTTTAAAGTACTTAATTTTCATGTACAAAAATGTGTATGAACCCTAAAAAATCCTTTCTATGAAATATTTTTATGTTAATATCTTTTTGTAAAAACTGTTTAATTTTTAATCCTTTGATATGCATTTCAGAATGGAAGAGTTACATGTACATGATATACAGTTTTTACATGGATATACTAATCCAACGGTTGTACTTGTTTATCAAGATTCTCAAGCTCGTCATGTTAATACATATGAGATTTCAATGAGAGATAAAGAATTTGTAAAAGGTCCGTGGCAGCAAAATAATGTGGAAGTTGAAGCAACTACATTAATTGCAGGTATAGTACATTATGTATTTTTAATACCTCATATAGTATATCCATGACTTTTAATACTTATTTTCACTAGCAATGTGTGAGATGGTTTGTTTCTCAAGACCTTAAATTAATAAACTACTTCAAATATGTTTGAAACATGTTTAATGTTACATCTTATGCTTTTTATTAAAGTTTTATGTTATTATAAATGGAGGTAAAATAATCTGACGTATTTGAAAGTAGTGAAATATTAACTGACTACATTTACAAGTACTTATAACTGTAAAAGTTGTGTTATTGTCTTTTGCAAGTAGTAATTTTATCATTCATCTGTTCAGACATTTTGAGATTAAAAAAAAAATAAAACTTACTTTAAATTATTTATAATCAAAGGGTGGGGAGAGTTAGCTGACTTTCCCCATCCTTCAGTTTTTATATTGATTTTATTAGATGGGAAGAGTAGAACCCTCTTTCATGAGGAACTGTTGGCAATGTCCAGTGATTATAATTTTATTGATATTGCAATGACTGTGAAGCAGTGTCAGTTTCTTTAGCAGAGTGAGATATGTATAACATTAACCCGGGCAGTTATAAGTGTATTGTTATGCATCGTAGTACTCTTACTTATTATACAAGGTGTGACACGCACAAAAAAAAAGACAAAAAAGACTGGTCCAATAAATCATTTTATTTACAGAATCAGTTCTCTGTGACATTATCACCCTTCAGCATTCACACACTTCTGCATTCGGCTCTGCCATTGCTGGTAACAGTTCTGGAGCAAGATTTTTGGAAGACCCTTCAGGAGATTCTCCATTTTTGCTTGAACCTCCTCAGCTGAGGTAAAACGTGTTCCCTTTAAGTAAGGGTCCCTTTAGGAAATAAACAAAAGTTGCATGGTCCCAAATCAGGTGATTAAAGTGAATACCTAAAGTTTCATCTCCATAAGCCTTGGTTAAAATTTGATATTGTAACTTTTTTTTTTTTTTTTTTTTTTTTTTTTCTGACACCAGTTGTTAGGTTATTTTCTTCCTTCACATTCGTATGGGGTTCCTGAGGATTTGTAGTGAATAATGATGACACTTGATGATGAAGTATCGAAACACACTTTATTTAGCCAATATTAATCATGACAGCTCCAAAGTCACTTTTTACAGTCATCAAAGATCTACAATAAACACGCTGGAACAATCAGCGACACAGCCTTCTTACTGTCAGGCAATAACAGTGGCGATAGCTTCACTGCAAAGCACCAGAGTACAGCTTCCGACTCTGCTCGGTCGTTCTTGGAACTGCACATGCTCTCGAGACTCTTCATGCTACGACTCGCACTCAACGATACAGACAAAACTCCCGACTCTTCGGTTCAGTCGTTCTTTGAGCTTAATGCACTCTCTCGACAATGTACTAGCCGCGATACACTAACAGACTCTTCGATGCACTAGGCACTCACTGGCCGGCTGTCAACTCGATCGTCTCCGCACAGACTAACTAGATGAGGCACACACTAACTGACTGCGGGCCAGCAGGGCTTATATAGCTTTCGGCTTGTGTTCGAGAACATTCTGGGCTAAACCGGTAAGAATTTGTTCCAGAAGGTTCTACATTCGTCCATGGTACGTTGCCAAATGGGCAATTTCTCACCAAATGTGGCAACCCTGCCTTTCCTTGCCTTTTTATAACAGTCCTAAACCTTCTCTTTCTGAGGAAGCTATCTCACCGCGCCTATACATTTTGTGACAGTATGTTTCCTCCGTGGTTGATTTTTTAAGTTTTAATAGAAACTTGATGTTGATTCGCCGTTCAGTTTTTCATTAGACACTTTTCTGGCAGAATGCAGTTGTACGTATTCATTCAATGACGCAGTACTCCGCACTGGCGTCGTCGGTTAAGCTGAAACTGGCCACATGGATAGAGGAGGTGTGTGGCATGATGTCACCAAAAGAGTTGTTGCCAACTTCACTCTGTTTTCAAGCTACACACTTAGACTCATCTTTTTTCTGTGTCGCACCTCGTATATTAGATGAGCATGTGAAGCAAAGAAGTATTGTTCTGTTATCAGGGGACCGGGTTCAGAGTTTTATGTATGTATGTGTTCATGATGTAAGTACAAATGTGTGTGTATACATATACACATATATGCACATACACACATTCATACATTTTTGAATCCGTTCCAAATAACAGAGAAGTACCAACAGTGGTATGTCAAATGTTTCCTGATCCGTTATAGATAGTTATTCATAATTCTGTGAAATTTGGTATTATTGCATTATCCACCCAACTGTGACAAGAATAACCAAAGTGCTATGTTGTCAAAGTATTCAACCCAGAATTTTATGAAAACGCATTTACATGGCAACCCACTAATGGGTTGTTTGCATTATGACAATGCATATTGCTACCATATATCTGGGTAATGGTGCTATTTTCATTTGAGGTCAATGTGTTAGGTTTTTTTTTCCTCTTATGTTTTTACTTCCTTGTATGAAGTAAAGGAAGTATTGTAATCATGAACAATTCCAGGTATCATATTTCAACAAAAATATCCATTTTGATGGCTATTGAATGCAATTTAATGATGTTTTTGTGTGACATCTGTATATAAAGGCAGAATCAAGTATTATTTTTTCCCCAAACGAATTATAAAACATTTAAAATCGATTCAGTAGACTTTTTTGTGGCATCTTGTACGTACGTATGTATCTTGCACTCGTTTTTGAATTGCATCAAAAACATTGAAATTTTATATGTAGTATTGCTATAACATGTAGTGCGCACGTCCCTTTTTGGTTGCAGTCGGGTGCTGCAAAAGTATATAAATAAATAAATAAATAAATTTATATATGTATGTATACCCACTTTGTTACTCGCCTCCGTGAGCACAGTTTTTTTTTTTTTTTTTTTTTTTTATTCTTATATGTTGGTGAATTGCACATTTTTTGCTTTAATAATATTTGAATTATGGTGTTCTTATCTTCCGGTTAAGGTTGTTAGGCCTTTAATTAATCTTCATGCAGTACTTGCAGAATTATCATCAATTTACAAGTTGTTTAAGTGCAACTAAGCCTAGTTTTTCTTACCATACTAGCCGTATTTGTCTACATTCATACCTGCCAACTTTTACGAACTTTTCGTAATTTTTACGAAAATGCGTTTGTCTTTACGATTTTACGATCGTAATCCATTTTTGTACGATTTTTTTCCTTTTTCAAGTGTTTCTAGTGATTTTTGTCGAAATTTTAGAATTTTTCGCCAATTCAGCGATTTTCGCCAATTGCATCGTGTTTTACCGCCAACTACCGACTACTTCGAATCCAGTAACCTGCGGTTTCTCCCAACTCGCCAATTAACCAGCCAATCCAATGTGCTGAACTTGTTTCTCCCACTCTTTTCTTTGTGGGCGCCAGATTATTTTTTTCGCATTCGCTTCAGCAGAAAGGGAATTACTCAGCGAGCGTGGATTGTCGCATTCTTTTTTTTTTTTTTTTTTTTTTTTTTTTTTTTTTTTTGTTTTGCACATGCTACGAATTTTCTTAATATGTCGTTGTTACGAAATGAGTTAAAAAAAACCGTGTTCTCAATATTTTGAGCCTGCCTACAAAGCTGAATTTCCAACAATTAAAGAATCATCAAAGGAAATAACTATGCATTTTGCAACGTGTGCGACTTCATAATAAGTCCCGGTGGAAGAAGCGACATTGTGAAGCATGTTAAGTCTAAAAAGCATGAAGTTAATGCTTCGGCTTCGACAACGTCAAAGAAAGTGGATGATTTTTTTTTCAAATTCGGATGCCAATATCATTTTGGCAGAGTGTTTGTTTACTGCATTCCTCATCGAACACAACATGCTGCTAAGCGCTACCGATCACGCCGGTCAACTTTTCATACTGATGTTTCCCGACTCCAAGATTGCTCAGAAATATGCTTGTGCTCGCACGAAAACATTTTCTATTGTGAACGAAATTGCTTGCGATGCACAAAGTAAAACGATAGCTGCACTCCAGAATTGAGCATTTTCGGTGTCAATCGATGGCAGCAATTACAACGATTGGAAGCTTTACCCCATCGTTGTCACATATTTCTGTGATGTTTCTAATGAAATGAAAACTCAGCTTTTGCTTCTTCCATTGTTAAATGGAGACGATTCGGGCGAAAATATTGCCTCCTTGGTAATTAATGAGTTGAAACAACTTAACATCCCAATATCAAACTGCATTTCATTTGGTGCAGATAATGCTCATGTCATGGTGGGTGACAAAAAGGGTGTAGCCTATTTCCTCAAAAAAGAACAAAATGAATTAATTGTTATTGGATGCCCATGCCACTTAATTAATTTGGCAGCAGAAAAAGCTGCAGCTGCTTTACCATTAAATATTGACCAGCTCCTGATTGATGTGTTTTTCTATCTGGAAAAGAGTGTAAAAAGGAAAGAAAACCTAAAGAATTTCCAAGAACTGTGCTCTGGTGAAACGAGAAAAATTCTGAAACATGTATGCACAAGGTAGTTATCCTTAGGCAGAGCGCTACGAAGTATTATTGAACAGTGGGATGCATTGCTAAAATATTTCCACGGGAGACCAAAACGAAACCACAGATCCCATCAAATTTGTCGGCATATAAGATTCCGAAAACCAACTTTGCTTCTAATCAAAATGCTTTAAAAGGGAAAAGCCAACACACAGAATCAAACCCTTTAAAAAGAAATTGCTTAGAAGATTCCTCAAAGGTCAACTTTGTTAAAGAAGTTGAAGGGAAGAAGAAACAGTCTTCTATTAGCCGGGAGGAAAGGATTTACATCTTCTTTCTTCGGATTTGAACAAAGCATATTGTAGTTTTGTGTTAAGTACCATTAAGATTTTTGAAAGTGTAAATACCCTTCTACAATCAGCTTCGCCAAAATCTTCCCTGCTTATCCAAATTCTTAATGATCTTTTGAAAGAACTTTATACTAAGTTTGTAAAACTGTCCGTTGTGAAAAACAGTGTGTTGATTCGTGTTGCCTATAATAGTTTGGCAAATCAAAAGGATGATAATGATCTTATAATTGGAAATCAAACCAGGGAACTTGTAAATTCTTTGAAAGATCATGAGAAAAAAGAATTTTTTCAATGTGTTAGAAAGTACTTTTCCTCAGCCTGTGATTACATTGTAAGGAAGTTTCCTTTGCAAAATGAAGTTCTTTTAAATGCGGAAGTGGCAAATTTGAAACAAATTGAAAATTCATCTTTTGAAAAGATTCGTTTTTTTATTGATAAATTTCCATTTTTGTTATCAATTAAAGAAAATGAATGCCATAATGATGCTTTAAATGAACTACAGAACCAATTTTTGCTGCACAGTTTGAAGACTTTGCCAGTTCTGGAGAAGATAGACTTGATGTCCTCGTTGGTACCTTAAAAAGAATAAAAAGAGCTGATGGAACACCAAAATATGATAGACTAGCAAGAGTTTTATGTGCTATTCTCGTAATTCCAGTAATGCTGAGTGCGAGAGAGTCTTCAGTGTTGTGAAGAAAAACAAAACTATGTTTCGTTCTTCAATTTGACCAAAAACTCTAGAAAACATTTTAATTGCTAAATGTTATGAGGAAACTAATTGTTATGACAGGAAATTTTCCAAAGAATTTTTGACTAAAGCCAAAAAATGCACTCTAAATTCATTGCAATAATTTTTTTTGTGTAACAATAAGTTCTTGTTTTATGTTTCCTAATAAATTTTTTAGTTACTACTTAATTGAGATTTACTAATGTAAGTACAATTTTCTTTTTTCTATTTGTATAAATTGTTATTTTTTTAATATCAAAGCATGATATAATTTCTTCGTGTTTTCTGAATTTTGGAGAAATCTTCTGAATTTTTATCTTTAGAGCTTGGCAGGTATGTACATTTGAAATTTAGCAAGATAGTGAATTAAATCTTGCCGCACCATCAGTATCTTTTTTGCCGAGTGGGACCAAAAGGAGCCTTTTAGTTTTGTGCACCGAACTGCCTTTTTCCTGCTGGCCGAATTGCTTGCTTTTGCGCAAAAACTCCAATTTTAATTGTAAAAAAAAAAATTTTTTTTAATTGTTTTAACTGTATTTGGTGTCTTATATTTTTCTATATCTTTCAGTTTTTCGTTGAAGATATTTTGAGTTTGAATATGTATTTTTGCCTTGCCGAGAGGTGATAACTGAATTAATTGAATAAGAAATACTGAATCGTCTGTGAAAAACTGTTTCTTTTTTATTTGTTTCATTTCTTTTATACATCGTTTTAGATTTGTTTATTATAGTATTTGAATAGAGCATGGCGACGATTTAATAATTCTTCAGATGATATAATTTTGATGATATTTGAGTTATAAAATGTAAGAAAAATCTGATGGATGAAGTAGATTTAGTTCGATTCGGTAAGTCTGAATGAAATGCAGTGAAAATGCGTATAATTCAATATTCCGGACAAGGAAGTCATGTGGTGTGCAGGTCAGGTTTTTTTTTTTTTTTTGTTTTGTTTTGTTTTTCGTTGTTGTTGTTGTAATGGCTGTGGATTGTAATGCTGTTGTGTGAAAAGCATTGCATTTTTTCAGAAATATGGTGGTATTTTGCTTATCAGTACAAAGTGTAGAAGCGTATGAAATTAATTTGTGCAGTTCTCCAACTTTTTTTTAATTTAAAACAGGTTGATGTATATATGGAGAGCAGTGCAAATTGGCTGTGCAATGCCCAGAATTCTGCAATTCTCTGATAAATTAAAACAGATCGTGCATATGGAGAAAAGACCAAGAAAATGTAAAGTTAAATGTTTTGTTATGGATGTTTTGTTTTTTAAATTAGTTAATTTGTTGCTGTTTTATGGAATTTTGATATGGAATTTTTGCTATTTCATTATGGATCTTTCTTGCATTTTTAATTTTGTCAATCATTTCTGTTTTATGTAATTTTTAGTTCATTGCCATTTTTTAAGATTGCTCCTCCTTCTTCTTTTTTTTTTTTTTTCCATGTTATGTTAGTAAAAAAGTAGTTGCCAATGGCTGGCTACTTTGTGGGAAGGTTGGGCAGATAACGTGAGATAACTTAAATTTTTATTATGATAAAATTGATGAACTCATTAAGTGGGTTTTTGTTGTGGCTGTGATGGGGGGGGGGGGTAAATGCATTTTGCAAATGCTAAATATATCTGCCTTTTCTGATCCAGTAGACATTTTTTCGTTGCTTGGAGTAATATAGGTAGCAACCTCATGCCAAAGTAGAAATGGAAACACTGATGATTACCTTTTTAATCAATTGCCCATGTTGTTACTGCAAAGGCAGTTACTGAAATTTGTTAGATTAGCCCAGTTAAAATTTGCCCCAAAGATGGGTAAGATGCACGGAACAAGTGATGATGCACTTATGTCATGGACACCTGGTCTTCAGATTTAATTCCTGACTTTCTTGTTTTGGTCAAAAATACTATTCCTTGCTTAGAAACTTTGCAATCTTAGCTCTGATGCTGTGGCTTTAATTGACTGTTATATAACTGGCTGTGAAGGAATTGATAACTGCATAAATATCTGTTGCACTAGCAGAGTAGATGTGAGCATTTGTGAAATTGTTTAAAAAATGTAGAGTTTGGCTTCATTTCAGTATGATAAATATGGTATCAGATATGTTGTTTGTTTATTATGAATATTGTTTACTATTTCTTGGAATTGTTAATAATGCTGTTCTTAAAGTTTATTTTTTTATTTTTCTTTCTATATAATAATAAGCAATTTGGATTTCTGCTCTGTGCTTACTTGTAAAGGGAAAATACTATACAGATAGTGTTATGAGCTATGCAAGATTAGGCTTTTTTTAAATCACTATTTTGTGAAATGTTAAATAAAGTTAAGTATCAAAAAATGCTTTTTTAAGTTTCCCTTTGCCTTATTCATATATTAGGTATGGTTTTATTATTTGTGCTTTTTGTAGATGTTAAATGAATTTTAATTACAAGACATGTACATTAATTTTATTTTTCTAGTTCCTGAACCCTTCTGTGGAGCCATTGTGATTGGGCAGGAATCAATAACTTATTATCATAATGATACACATATTGCCATTTCACCTGCATTAATAAAAGTAATATTATATTATTTAATATGTATTTTTAAAAATCTTTTGTCATTTTCTTCTTTTGACCCATTTCTCTTATTGGTAACTATACCTATAAATCTGGCTACTCTTTCGACTTGTTTCACCATGTTTTATATATGTAAAAGGCATATGTTCATTTTATTCTGCTCATTGTTTAGCTTGTCCATACATTTCTAAATATCTATATTATTAAAATATGTGTTTGTCTGTCTGTTTGTTTGTGGCGTTAACTCTTCTGGAATGGTAGGAAGTTGAGTTTCGAGAGAGGTAACCCTGGATTCCAAAAATTTGTAAGACTCACAAAAAGGCAAAATTTTGAGAAAAAGAAAAAAAAAAAAACTCACAAAAATTTGTGAGAAGACAATTTTAACCATTCTCATCTGCTTACAACTTTATTCAGCCGAGATATTAAGTAAAAACTATGAGAATGCTAGTTTTCGTCTTCATTTTTCTAAGTGGCAGCAGTCTCGCATGCTGGAGATAAAAATCTGCTTCATTTCAAAAAATGTTGCCACTGCTCTCTTTCAAATCTTAGAATTTGTTAATAAAAAATTTGTAACTTTAGAAAATATGAAATAAAAATAGCATTTCCAAACTTTAAATATATTATTCCGGATTTCAGAAATTTGTGGAAAGCCCTTTTGACCATTCTGATCTTCATACGACTTTAATCAGCCTACATGTTAATTAAAAACTCTGAAATCGCTAATTTTTATGCTTTTCTTTTATGCTAAGCCACGACTAACTTTCAAATGGTATTGTTTGGTAGTTAAAAAATTTATAAGTTTGCGAAATATGAAATAAAAATAGCATTGCCAAACATTAAGCATTTTATTATTATATAAGGTCATATTCTTATGTTGAAGAAAGCATGCAATTGTATGGGACATCATTGTATGACGAAAATTTTTCATTAATATCAGCATTCTAATAAATAGCTGCTGTTGGCAACTTTTTTGTTTTAGGTTAGGCTAACTGACGTGATATGTTGTTGCCTTATTGATTTTGAAAAAAAAAAAAAAAGTTGTTATATTACATATTCTTATGTTGTATAACAAATTCTTAAATTTAAAAAATCAGTTTAAAATTTTTAAAAAAAGTTTGAAAGCTTTCAGACTTTATATTATGCCCAAAGGGATGCTTTTTTAATGTTTTGTATGCTACCTTTATTTATTAAGTATCATGTTCTTCACACTTAAACCACATAAAATTCAGTTCAACAGCAATATTTTGGAATATGTATCTTTCTTTGATATGAAAAAGGTAGTAAAACAAATTCAAAATTCAAGCTTCCAGATGCCCATGTTTGGATGGATATTACATTATTCAAAATTGATGGCTCTAGATACCATTATTTTCTCACCGTGCAAGAAACATGCATACATTCATGCATGTTTTTCATTATTTAATTTCTGTAAATGTAATACAGGGCGATAATATTTGGTGGCAACAATTTAAAAAGTGATACACTGTTCATAGTAAACTGATGCAAAATGCTGCCTCAAGACTAATAACCCTTCTAGGCTCCCTTTGGGCTAATCATGACATCATATCTATACATATTAACCTAAAGTGTTAAAAGTTCAACATAAAAATGTTTACGAATTAGTTGTTGCTTAGGAAGACTGAACTGATTTCATTCACATTGAAATGTTTTTATGCATTTTCTTTTCAGAAGTACATAAAACTTATATATATATATATATTTTTTTTGTCTGCAGTCTGCTCATCTAGCGGTCTTGCCCGCTGGTTATATATACAAGTTGTAATTTATGTTTTTCATTGATCATTGAATGCCATACAAGCTAAAAAAAGCATTAGAATGCACAATGTTATTGAATTCTGTGTATATGCATGGCATTTGAAAAATATAGCTACAAATGTTGCTTCCTTAAATGTTGATCTTAGACATTTTACTTCTGTTAGTAAAATAACAGTCTGAACACTGTCCATGGGTAGCTTCTATAAAGTCTGACATTTTGTAGGTATTACCTAACATAATTTATTGAAATATATGTATTTAATATTTTAATGAAATTAGCTGCTTGCATTATAATGAGGGCTGTTTTACTTTGCCTGGAACAATTTATCATGAGAATATACAATTTTGGTTTTAATTTGGCTAAAATATTATAGTTATTGATTGATGATGGTTATGGGAAAGTGATCTAAGTAAATTTATTTTCAAACATTTCAGTGAATTTTGCATTGGTCATCTGTTTTATATTTCACTTCAATAAGTAAAAAAAAAAAAAAAAAAAAAAAAAAAGTATTGCAAACTATTGGTTATTTTACTGACTAGAATTTTTGCTGTACAGAAAACAAAAAGTTAGATTTTATATTTGTAAAGTGTTTTCTACAGTATAAAATTGTTATCATTAAATTTCTTCTCTAATATTGTAAGTTTTTCACCAGGTAAATAGACTGGCTGCATGAGTATTTTTCATAGTTTTAATCATGTTTAATGTAAATACTAGCCAGTTTCCTTTAAAATGCCCTTCACAAAGGCATCCTTTCCTTTAGCAAAAAGTCCTTCTATTTGTCTGCTTTGTGATATTAAAATGGCCAAATTTCTTATGTTTTATGAAACATATTTTAAATGTATTCCTAAAATCAACATTTAAAGAAGTAAAGTCTGTAGCCATCTTCTTTCTATGATCTCTGTAGGGCTGTATTCATTCACTAAATAATAATAATAATATATATAGCTAGGAGTATCATAAAATATTGATAAGCATACATTAATTATAATAATTTATGTAACATATGCTGTCAAGCTCAGTACAGTGTAAAGTAACAGTGTTAACATAATGTGCATATGGGAAAATATAAATGAAATTTAAAATGTTTTGAATTACTAAAATATGATGGAAGCTAGAATTTTTATAATTTTCAACTAATTTCTTATAAAATAAATGTATTTTAAGTTACTCATATTTATTGTAAACCAAATGATTTTTTATTTCCGCCATTAGGAACATCTTTTATTAATTATGATATGATTGCAAATGCTCATAATTACCAGTTATATAGATGTATTATTTATTAAGTGTATTTTAAATTAAATTAATGCAATACTTTTAAAATAAATAGTTTTTTTAATTATTAAAAAGCATTTTATTATTTTTAAATCGCTCCTTTAATCATGAATGTATAAAATAAAGACCTTAGGTTACATCAAGTGGTAATATTTTGGAAACTGAGCTCTTTCTGAGGCTATGTGCAGAAATGACGTTATAGTCTATTCATTAGTAATACTTTTCATCCCATTTGATAAGATTATGTAGTGACCTTGAAAGTTTAAAAAAAATTCCAATCAAATTTATCGTATGAAGTCAAATAAAGATTTAAATTTGTAATAAGGACATTTATAGCTTGTAAAGCATTCAGATTGTTAAGCAGTAGGGTTATCATTTAATAGATATAAAATTTAAATTACTTTGAATGGTAATATGCTGGAAACTGGCTGTTTGCCTTATTGTATACATCTTACATTTCATGCATTGGTAGCAGTTACATGGTCATGATGTGAATGATAAATATTATAACTTAGCATAGCAAATGTAACATAATAATCAGAAATTTCAGAAATACTATTGTAGATATTTCTGATGTCAGAAATGTGATTTTTTTGATTGAAATGTGATGATGAAATATTTTCTTTAATTTATTGCATTTATGTTATTTTTTATTATTATTTATAATTTACCATGGTTATTTTTTCGGCCAATACAATGAAATTTCAATGTACCTAAATAAATAGGAAAATGGGCAAAGACTAAAGAAAAGCAGCCCTTTTTGGCATAGTTGAGTCACAAAGTTTATTTTCTTGCAATGTTGTTTTAATCCTTCAGAGAGACTCTCCAGGCTTCATTTTCGCTATAACTTTACTACTCCTATAAATAAGAAGTAGTTTATCATTAAATGCCTAAGACAAGTTAGCTTTGGGGGTAACAAGCACCATTCCCAAAAATGCTATTAACATGTTTAGCCCGGCGTCGGTCCCTGGGGGCTGACAGGGAACTTTCAGTGTGGCCGGCACGGGTATTTTTCGTTTGGCTGGCGTCGGTCCGCGGCACAGACAATATTAAAGTTAAAAAATAAATATAGTCTCATTGAAATGTGATCAAATTTAGTTTTAATGAAATGTATTGAAACATTCTAAACAAAAATATGGCTTATAAGCCGGCTCGCTGCCGGCTGAACGGAAAGGACAGCGAATTCGGCGCCGTGCTCAGCGTGTTAAGATCTTCACTGATGGCAGCAAAATTGCTGACTATGCAGGTAGTGGCATTTATATTGAGACCCCTTGGGGGAGGGAAAATGACACTCTGCCGTTGTAATCCAAGTCACTGTTCTGTCTTCAGGAGTGAAATGATAGCAATCAATTTGGGGCTTGAGGCTATATTAACAGAAAATAATTTTGGTGACCTATGAATTTTATCTAATAGCCATAGCTCAATACAGCTTGATAATTGAATTCTTGTAGGCAACAAAATCAGGAGCTCTATCCTACAAAAACTACAGCTAATTTCCCAACACCATGATATCCATTTACAGTGGATCCCCTGTCATGTGAATTTTTATGGCAAAGAAATGGCGGACACATTATCAAAGGAGGGCTGTGGTCTTTTAGCTCCCTCACCTATCTGGAACTATACTCTCTGAAAAAATTACAAATCCTACTGGAATGGCTTTTAACCGTCACCTGTCACTGGTACTTGGTTAGCAGGCCTTGTTGGACTCTAAACCTTGGGTGCGACAGGAAATCTCAGACAGCACTCTCACACATTACTATTGATTACATTAAGTGCCTCTCTTTCAAGAAGGACATGAAAATCATTTCCACACACATTAAGTGCTAAGAACAGGCTTCTGCCAAACATATTTTGATTTCTTTGGACCTTTCTAGAGAGGATAATTATACTAATCCTCTCCTTGTGCTCAACTTTCTTAGAATCAACGGTCTTTTGGATCTTGTCGGACTTTATCAGAAATGGGAGGAAAAGCAACAACAGCGTGTTATTTTATTTTATTTTATTTTTTTTAAGCACAAAAGACTTTTATATCTTCTAAATAATTTGCAACATGAATTTTAATTTTTAGTATTGTATATTGAATATGCTAATATGTGTTTTCTGTGCATAACAATAACTTCAGATTTTTATGCTTTTGTTTTTAGCAAAGTGTCATTAATTGCTATTGCAAAGTTGATGAAAATGGGTCAAGGTATTTGTTGGGAAATGTTACCGGTCGATTATTTATGCTTCTTCTTGAACGAGAAGAAAAAATGGATGGAAGTATACATGTTCGGGATCTCAAATTTGAATTTCTGGGTGAAGTAGGTATTCTTTTTTGGTGTCAATTTTTTTAAAAAGCATTTTGTTTATTTGCATTGCTTCCTCAGAAAGTTACTTCAGATTGTGGCATATGTTTTTCTTTTCTGTTATTAAATTATTGTTTACAATGGTTAGATCAGTAATAATCCTCAGTAAAAGCTTTTTGCTATGTATGAGAATTTCACATTTTATTCAGAAATTGTTTAGCACACAGTTACCCAGTAATATAAAATTACTTTTTCCTTTTAGTTTTTTCTTAATAATGTAACATTTTATTTCAAAACAATTTTCACAACAACATATTTCTAAAGAAATATATATATTTAAGATAAAAAATTTTATATCAGCTTTATAATTTAATTTAGTCTTTTTTAATTCCTCTTTTTTTTTTTTTTTTTATTTGGTTATTTCCTCTTTATTCTACAAAAATTAATAACATTTCTGGACAGCATCATTTCTAGATAAATCTATGTTGCATGTCTTGCATAATGCTAAAGACATAGCTAATTAGGAACATAAAATTTTGAGAACTGAAACCTTTCTACCCAAACCAAAACCTTCTCTTAGTGAGCTTCCACACTGGATAACTGTGCAATTTAGCTTCTCTCTGTGTGCTGCTTGGGCATACTTTTGCTGGACTGTCTTCCTATCGTAGCAGTATCAGAAATGTAAATGTTCTTGAATAGGCACGATTTAAGTGCCTATTCAGTTATCAAGTGAATTATGGCCACAAATGTCAGTTTAAATAAAAATGGATTTTAATCTGCCTTCTTTGCCAAGTTTCTTAGTTATTATGATGCAATCAGAACTCTTCCTATTCAATATAGATATACATTCTAAGCTATCAAGTATGTACACCATCGGTATTTCTTCATTTCTACATTATACTGTCTGTCTACTATTTTGTAAATTTAATAATTGGCAAATCTATCTTTTACTGAAAAATTGGAGTTTTTAAGTTTCTAAGCCATGTTGTACACCGATTACATGAAGACATTTATCTTTTATAACATATATTTTTTCTTTTCCTCGAATTAGAGCCACTACTGTTTTCGCGTTGCAAATTTTACAGAAAACAGCATCTTTTAGAAGTTTCTTCCTCCACCATTTTGGAGGCGACGATCACCCTACTTGAAGGTAATAATTTTCCAGACCGCACACAACATTTGGCAACCCCGCACACAAAGTTTAACAGGATGTGGACATTTTGAGCACATGGTTATATACTTAGTTTTGCTATTGGATACTTTAAACTTTATCGCATCCTTTTTCCAAGAACTACAATTTTTTGCTGAAGAATTAAGTATATTTTCGTTTGGAAGGTCCGTCTTAAGATTTTCAGTAAGTTTGCATTTTTTTCCAGTTGGTTTCCAGTTTTAGCTGATAAAGCTCAGATTTGATTTTGTTATTTAAAGAACCTTTGTGAAATGTTTTTCGTTTTCTTGGTATTAAAAGTTTAGTTTAGCATAATCAGGGACAACCCAATTTTTGAGCTTTGTTTAAAGGACAATTTGGTTTAAAGTATATTAGTTTTATTTTTTATATCTATTTGCTTTTGAATTTCAGATTTGCATATAATGATTCTAGACCAATTAGATTTTTTTTATTTGTCTTTTTACATAATGTAAAGTTTTGTGTTTTTTTTTTTTTTTTTTTTTTTTTTTTTTTTTTTTTTTTTTTTTTAGTAGTCAGTTTAGCACAATGTTATGTTTTTCCGTTTTACCAAGTGTTTCGAAGGCATGTAATGAAAATCCTGGTACATTTGAGTTTTTGGTTTTTTATGAATTTTAGTGTCTTAAATGAAAATTTAATAGATCCTTTTTAGTCCAAAGGGATTTGAATCCCGAAGGACTATTAGTTTCGTTTTGGCATTTTGCGTTGGACTCATAAATGTCGGTTCACTTTTCAAACTGTTGCCATAAAATGTTAGAGTCCTGCATTATATTTGAAGAAATTAAATAATGAAAAATCTGCATAAATGTATGTATATTTCTCGTATTGTGATAAAACAACGGTACATAGAGTCATCGAATTTTGAATAACGTAATCCTCCAACGAATATGAGCATGTGGAAGACCAAATTTGAAATTTGTTTTATGATCGATTTCCTATTTTTTTAAAACTTTGACGAATTTTTGATTAACAAACTCAAGGATTTCAAAGCGAGCAATGGCAACGTTGTGCAGAAAAAAACATTTTTATCTCCAGCGCGTGAGTCTCTGTATCGGAAATTCTAAAGATATGCTCGTTTTAAAACTATTTTGCGATATTGCTGTTGCACTGGATCTTATGGTTTAAGTGCGAGGAACATGATATTTAATAAAGAAAGGTAACACACAAAATGTTAAAAAACGCCCCTTTGGACGTAATTTAAAATCTGAAACATTTCAGTTTTTTTTTTTTTTTTTTATCTTAAATGAACCATTAGAACGAAGTACGTTTTCGAAACATATTAATCAATTTTTTTTTAATTCATTTTCCCCTGGTGAGTTATGAATTGGAGTTTCAGTATTAAGGAGATTAGTTATTAGTTTTATGTTTTTTTATCTTGCATTTTCTTCCCTTTTTGCATTTTCATTTTTATTTTTAGAGTTTGTACTACTGTGAATTCTTATTTTAATTTTGATATGTTTGGATTTTGCGTTAAGCCTTTTATACATGATTGCTAATATTAATATTGTTGAGAAATAACCTTGCTTTGACTCTAATTTACTTTTATCTTTAGAATCTTTTTACTTCAGTCCTGCAGCCATACTGCAGGACGGGTATAAGAATTTGCTTTTAATTTTGTCTCTTATTATGTATAGTATATATAGAGAGAGAGAGAGAAAAAGAGAGAAATTAATAAAATAGTCAATAGTGCATTTTACAAAAATTACGAATGAAATAACAAGTTCAAAATTAGTGCCTAGTCCTGTTAAATTTTATAAATGAATCTTAAAAAGTTAGGATTAAAATACCTAGAAAAAGTCGTAAGGGTACCCGAAGGTAACCTATGCTTATTTTCTGAAATACACTGCAAAAAGAAAAATTAAAAAATAATTTTTGAACTGAAAATCTTTATATAACATGAAAATTGGAAAATATGAGTACAAAAACATTTGTTAATCCTTTTTGTTCAAAGCTTCAAACAGAACTTGTCAAGGGAAAAGTGTTTTGAAGCCTCAGACCAAGCTGATTAACTAGACCAACTAAAACAAGTTTCGTTCCAACAAGCCCAGTGAGACTTCAAATGGTATAATTGAACTTCAATTTTTTTAAGTACTTAAACAAACTAAATGTCTCATTGAATTTGTCTCTTTTCCCGACTTATTTCAGTTGTCTAAGCCACAAAAGTACCAAAGTGCTGAAAGCAAGTACTACTATTTAGAGACATAAAATTGAAACTGATAATATACAAATAGAATCCTAAGTCAGAACATGCCTAGCAACCCAAATGATCAAATTACGATTTAAATGCAAAAGAATAAATGTAAAAGAAAAAATATCATAATAAAATATAAAAATAGAGAAACTCAAGCAATTTTCAGACATGCAAATTAAGTTGAAAGTCTTATGTAAAAGCTAAAAAGAGGGCCTGTCTCTATTTTGTAAATTAATAAACTTTTGTTTTGAAAAGGTCAAATTTATAAACCTGTGAAAGTAAAATGGGGAAGAGCAAATTTGCTCAAAAATGAAAGATGGTGAAACCTAAGAAATACAAAATTCATACCTGGTAGTTAACGTGTGTTCCGGCAGCAATTTAGCTGTGAAAATTCTGGATGTGGAAAGGTTTGCCATAATTCATACCAGTAGGGTAACCAAAAATTTGTAACAGGTTTTTTTTTTTTTTTTTTTTTTTTTTTTTTTTTTTGAAACAGAAAAAGATCTTTGCAGTCTTGTTGTTATGCCAATGAAAGCTTGCAGTAATAAAGGGGCTCAGTGGGGGGGGTCGAAGTAAGAGGTAACCAGTCACAAAATGGTGTCATTTTAGACCGATTGTTCTAAAAGAAGAAAACTAGATAAAAATGGCTAAATGTCGAGGTTTTGGGCCATAAAGTTGAGGTATTCTTATGGCTTTTTCTAGGTATTTTAATCCTAACTTTTTAAGATTCATTTATATATAATATGAGTGTAAATTTAATCATTTCAACATAAAAATTTGGATGCCCTTTTTTATCGTTTGACTACTACTTGCTTCTTTATATATGGCTGGAAAAAAACAGTAATCAATCTGTGTGCCTTACTAGTTCCAAAGTTTTACATTTTGCTCCAGTTTTGAGACAAATTTAAAAAAAAAAAGGTTATATAGACAATTATTAAGAGGTAAAGAGTTAAGTTTTTTTAACCCCCCCCCAAAGGGAAATTGTGCCTAGGCCTGCTTTAAATTAATTCATGCTAAATTGCAACTTAAAAAATTATGTAAAATTGAATAAATGTAAAGTTTAATAATTAATTTTTAATTGCCTTCACCTGTTAACAGTTATTTTTTAATGATTTTTAATGTCTCGCCTAAAATATATTTAAATATTTATAGACTTTCTATGCAGATATATATAAACTTTGCTGATAGGTTATGCTATTTATACCTTTCCAGGTATTCTGAGATTAGCTTTTCTTTGAACACATGATTAAATTTTCTGATCTAAAGATTTTTTACTTACTAATTATTACTGAATGGTTCAATTTGTGTGTCACATACCAGTTTCACAAAACTTGTCTACTGCTGTTCTGTTGTATAACACTTTGTCTAAAAATAATCAGAACTTTTCAAATAAAGCACAGAATATCATAGCAACTCTTTTAGAATCATCTAATATAAGTAAAAATCAGAATTTTAAAATAATTTCTAATATTGCAGAACCTGAAAAATTTCACAGAATCTGTTCTGAATATTATTGGACTGTAACCAAGATAAATACTTTCAATGAATCAAGTTATGAAATGATTTTTGTTCATTTGCATAGCATTTAGCTGGAAAGCATTTAGATTATTTTTTGTCTTCTTAAATTTTATCAATAATGGTTTTGAATTAGAGATTGTTGTGAATAGCTACCTGATATTTTATTTTGTTTCAGATTACAATACCAGAATGTATAACATACTTGGATAATGGTGTTGTGTATGTGGGATCAAGACTAGGTGATTCACAGTTAATAAAGCTGAATGTTCATGCTAATGAAAGTGGATCATTTACTGAAGTCATGGAAACCTTCACTAATTTGGGTCCAATTGTTGACATGTGTGTAGTAGACCTAGAACGTCAAGGCCAGGGACAGGTAAGATATAATTGTTTGTATTTCTGAAATAATTTGAATATTGTTTTAATATTTTATAATTTTTTAAGAAACTACTCACTTAACGGACTTATGTTTAAAAAATAAAACAAGAATATGTAATATTTTACAATTATTTTAATTTTTGAGATATTAACTTATTTATTTATGAAATAAATCTCTTTATTTTTACTTATTAGCCCAGAAGGGCTATTAATTTCATTTTGGCATTTTGCATTCATTCACTATAAACGACGAATCACTTTTTAAATTATTGCCACCAAATATTAGAGCCATGTATTATATTTAAAGAAATTAAATAATGAAAGAATCTGCATAAATGTATGTATTTTTCTTGCATTGTGATGAAACAGTGGTACCTTGAGCCATCAAATGTTGAATAACGTACATCACCACCGAATATGAACATCTGGAAGCCCAAATTATTTGTTTTATTATCTATTTCATATTTTGTAAAGCATTTATGAGTTTTTGATTGAGAAACTCAATTTAAAAGCGAGCCATGGCAACATTAGGGGGGATTTTTATCTCCAGCGCAGAGATTGTGTATCGGAAATTCTAAAGATCTAATGCTCTTTTAAATATTTTTGTATATTGCTGTTGAATTAAATTTAATGGCTTAAGTGCGAAGAACATGATATTTAATAAAAAAGGTAACATGCAAAAGTTTAAAAGAAGCCCCTTCGGACGTCTTAGCTTTTTTTTGTTTTTATTTATTTATTTTATTCATTTAAAAGAATTTCAAATTCCTCCCTCTATCATTATACAGGGTGGTCATAAAAAACTTCCCTGATATATGAACTCTTAGCAAACTATCCATTTAGCCAATTGAAATGAAATTTCAGGTATTGTTATTTGAAAGTATACACTTGAGGTTGTAACAATTTAAAACAGTAGAGTTCTCATGGTTACAGATGCAATGAAAGCATTTTGAAATTTCTGAATGGCAGCATCCACTTTTTTCCTGTGCCAAATTGATCACCACAATGAATGACTTAAATGGCTTTAGGATAGATGTATGATGAAAATTGCCGGCATAAAGTATTTGAGAAGCACATTTTGAAGGATCAATGACAGCACAAAAGAAGAGAGAAGAAAAATATTTTATTGGAATTACAAGACAGGGTAGGCTTGTGTCAATAAGCAAATTTAGATGGCTTGTAACACATCCTTAGTTCTGAATGAGGAGCACTCAAGAAATTTGTTATCTGCTAGGTTTTTATGTTGAAAATACACTGATTAAGAAAATGCGTGTTATTGTTTAAGCAAGCAAAAAAGAAAAAAAGTATGAATTTAAAAGAAAGAAAGAAAGAAGGGGGATAAGGGCATTTAACAAATTTCTGACATGAAAAACTGCATGCATATTAATTTTTTAAGAAGAGAAAGGAAATGATATACTGGCATAGAAATTAAATGTAAATTGCATACACATGTAATTTAAATAATGCTGCCTAAATCATAAGGCTCTTTTAACTAAAACAGAAGTATATTTAGAGTTTAATTTAAACAGAGTTATATTTTTTTATTTTAAATTATCTGGTTTTATTTATCCTTTACAACAATTTCGAATAATTCTAGAGTTTCCAACTTAAAAAGTTCAAGGTGTTTTAGAATTATATTAGATGAATGTAATTCATAAAGTAATCAATCAGTATTTTATTTAGTTACATGCATTTTAATATTTTTTGTTTTACTACACTACCAAGTAAATATCCAATGAGAAATGTAGAAATCGCCGTTCTTGAAAGATGCTCGCTTGCAGATGCATTAACAGAGTTGCCAACTCTCCTGATTTTCAGCCGCTCTCCCGCCAACCCGATTTACAATATACTTCTCCCAACTTTTTCTTATTCTTAAAATTTCTCGCAATTTTTATGGAACTTGGCTTAATACTTCGTTATATGAACAAAAAAAAGTTATTTGTGATGTCTGAAAGCAATTGAATTTTCTCTGGATTTTATCTAAAACAAAACCTTGCGAATCAGATGATAATTTCTGCTTTGTGAGTGAGAGCATACGTATCCAGAAACATCGTTCTCCAGTTCTCCAGTGGGCATTGAGCTCCACTGCGTGTCATCTGGCATATATTAGCCAATGAGCACAAAGCAAGCTCGAAGCTGTTATTTAGATGTTCTTTAGTTATTTCGTCCGTCTTGTCTTGAGTTGTGCGAGTACACGTGCCTTCGGAAAATAGTTTTAGAAATTATTATCTTTTGTTATGTCTGCGAGAAAGGTGAAATACTCATGTACCTTTTGAAAATCGTACACAGTTGAATTTCCTTCCATTATTTCCTCAAGGAAATGTAATAAATTTGCGATGTGTACCGTCTGTCGTTGCGATTTTTCGATTTCGCATGGTGGAAGGGTGGATGTTCTCAAACATGTGCGAACACAAGAACAACATGAATTGTTTTGAAAAAAACGAAAAATTAAATTTTTCTTCGGAAACAAAGGATTAAAAATTTAGTAATGCAAAGTGCCTGTTCTCTGCCTTTTTACTGGAGCACAACCTGCCACTGAATGCATGGGATCACGCTGCAGCTTTATTTAGAAAGATGTTTCCTGATAGTGAAATCGCTAAGAAATATTAAAGTGCAAGAACCAAAACAGGTGCAATTGTTAAAGAAATGGGTTTGAAGAATAAATCTTCAGTTATTGATTGCATTGAAACAGCTCCGTTCCGCCTCTCTACAGATAGAAGCAATAATACCAATACAAAACTGTATCTAATTGTTGTTGTTTTTTAAGTCTAGAGTCTTCAGAAATTGGTGCAGTTCACTCTCTGTCCCCATTTTTGAAGGGCGTTCAACAGGCTTTAATATAGCAAGCTAATTATTAAAACTTTAAAAGAAAACACAGTCCCTCTGGATAATTGCTTAGCACTTAGTGCCAATAATGCAACGGTAATGGTAGGCCTTGAAGACTGGTATTGCAGGCATCTTAAGAAAGGAAAATTCAGATTTGCAGATTATGAGGTGCACTTGTCACCTAAATTTAGCAGCTAAAAAGGGGGCAGCTTCTTTACCAATAAATGTGGATGAACACATTGTTAATATTTATTATTATCTTGAAAGGAGCTCTAAAAGGAAGGAAAAATTGAAACAGTTCCAACAGCTGCATAATACTGAAATGAGAAAAATTTTGAAACATGTGTACACACTGGCTGTCTAAAGAAATGCTTATCTAGAATCCTCGATCAATAGAACGCACTTCTTGCATTTTTTAAAGAAGTAAATGCTTCGAGTTGAGATAAAAGGCTCTATTGAAAGTTATAAAATACCTAATGTAAATGGAGATGTAGTTACTACTTCCGTTGTTAAAAATAGGTTTGAGAAAAATAAATTTCTGCACCATTCAACTGGCAGTTCTCAAAATAATACTGCAAAATATAAGCATAAAGCTGATACAGATTTCTCTCAAAATAAAAAAAATTGCTCAACACACGAAACATTTTTCGATTACTGTAAGTTTATCTTGTGAGGAACGAATATTTATGTTTTTTCTTTGGACCTTAACAAAGCTTTTTCCTTTTTTTTACAATTCATTTTCCCATCATGCGATGTTCTTAACACAGTTCTACAAATCAGAATTCCATTAATTCATGTTTTGCAATCAATGATTTATGAACTGTTTAAAGACATTTTATCAAAGTTTGTAAAACCAGCCTGTGTTTTGTCTTGTAATTCTATATATGATGTGATTTATGGTGAAATAGAAAGATGAAGATTTGGTAACAGGAGCTGCAATTACAAAAGTAATGGAAGAACTTTCAGAAGAAGACAAAAATAAGTTTTATCTTCATGTTAGAAGTTACTTCTGTCGAGTATGTGATTACATACGACATAAATTTCCAATCAACAATGAAGTGATTTTGCATGCTAAAGTTGCTGATGTTTCTGCTCTAGCAAATGCATCTTTTTCTGATATAAGGTACTTTTTGAACAGATTTCTTGTGTTACTTTATTTAGTCATGAAAGATGAGGATATTGATCTTGCCACTGATATATTGCAGTCACAATTTTGCAGTTTACGATTAGAAACTTAAATGAAACTATAAAATCAACTAGGATTGACACCCAGTGGAGTTTAATTGGAAAACTGAAAGGTGCTGACGGAATTTTAAAATATAGTGAACTGTTTAGAATTGTGTTGGCCATTTTGACAGTTCCTCATAGTAATGCAGAGTGTGAGAGAATTTTATTGTTGTGAAAACGAGGACTAAATTTAGATCTAATATTAGTGATGACATATTAGAAAATCTTTTATTAGTGAAAGCAGGCCAAAGTGGCAATTGCTATGAAAACAATTATGAAGTTTCTTTCTTAATGAAAGAAAAATCTGTCACTGTTCGTAACATTTGTGTACGAAGACTGGCTAAAGTGTCTTTTTTTTTTGTTTTGTTTGTTTGTTTGTTTTCTTAAATGATGCAAGTAATAAAAATGTTTTTCATCTGTAAGGTATTTTTGTGTTGCTTGCATTTAAGAATTAATAACTATTTAAAGTTAATTCATTATTAAAAACTATATTTTTATCATTTAAAATGTCTTTTTAACATTGAAAAATCTCCTGATTTGAGTGTCATAGGTTGGCAAGTATGCATTAAAGGTCCTCATGCTGGAAGTTTCCTAGTTTTGTAAGTCTGAAAAAAAAAAGTTTTTTATTCGACTAAAATGCTGAAATTTCTTTAAATACAGTCAAAAGTCATTAATTCGGACACCCATAATCCGGAATGATCTATAATCCGGACCTCAAAGCTACAAACTTTCTGCGCATGTGTCGTGTTGACGCATGCGCGTAAGACCTTTACGGCTGCGAATATGCGCATGCGCAAAATACGTTTACGAATGCGCGTTTAATGTATAACGTACGGTATACGCTAAGCTAAAATTATCTAATTCAGTTAATGTTGCAGATTGCGTTGTTCCTTAATATTCGAATTGGATCTGGCTTGTATATAAATGTCCTGAATTAGATCTGATAAAAGCCTCTCTAGATATATTTATAAAACAAAAGGGGAGCATTGAATTAATGCCACTGTATGAAGGAGCTGAAAGGAAATCTTGTAAGGTTACTTAAGTAATACCTCATCCAGAAACATCAGAGCCCAGTATAGTTGACAGTAGAGATACTTACATTTTGTCTACAGTTGATGAACAGATTTTGAAGGCCCTTATATTCTCGTATAATGCAAACCTTATGTTCTAAATAATACAGTTTTGCTTCCTGAAGATATGGAACTGAAGCAATATGTGGATGCATGAGAAAGAAAATAGTTGTTTTAAAACTAGGCTTTTGTGTGAAGTCATTTTGTCTAGATTACAATACATAAATTTTTGCAAAACAGTCCTTATCAAAGCTGTCTAGACAAGATGAGTTGAACCTTTATGAAAATGATATTGAAAGAGATTTTGACCCATCATGACAGAACTTTTTAATCATGATTATTGTGCCATTGGAGGAGAAGAATGACAAAATTTCCGTATGTTGAGGAACTCGATCGGGACCATTGGACTGGACAAAGTAAAACGGTTCATAGCGGTCCTTGCAAATGCTTATAAGTCCTTATATTTGAAAATAAAATATAAAGGTCCTTATAAGTGCTTACTTTTTCTTTAAAGCCCTTATTTTTTTGTTTTTAGTGCTTATTTTTTGCTTTTAGTGCTTTTTTTTTTTTTAATCCTTTTTTTTTAATGAACACGCATTTTTTCCCCGTACCAAAGTGAAACTAAATAAACAACTTTTCTTCCTTATATGCAACGTCAGATGGTGAATCATACTCCCAGAAATTACTTTTCTCCCCTTTCTCTGCATTAACGTAACCTATGGTGCTCGCGAGAGTACAGACAGGTGCACGTTGTTCTATTGGTCAAAGAATTGCCAAAACAGTAGAAAATTCCGGTACATTCGGTATTCTTTTCCTCACACCCAAATACTACCCACGCTTGAATTTCTATCAAGATTTTAATAATTTGCATTCTCGTTCTGCGTGGTCAGTTCATATTTGTGTTTATTATGATTGTTATGCCTATATTATGAGCATATGCATGAATATGTATAATAATATAGTTGCAGTAACTGCTAAAGTATAGATAAACTTCCAACAATGGGTGTGTTTTTACATAGATTAGCTTTCTAAGGAATAATATTCGGAATGGCTTAAATAAAAGGAAAGTAATCGAATAGTCAAAATAATTTCCTTTTTTTTTCCCAATACATTATACAGTACAGAGGTTGGGAGGTTCTCCCCTTTCTCTGCAAAATCTCTAATATTGAAGCAGCGGACTTCTTTTTTTTTTTTTTTTTTTTTTTTTTTTTGTCACTGTCCAAACTGGATTGAATAGGACTAAAAGTTTTTGCGGTCTGCCCAACCCAAGCGAAGATTGATTCTGTCCCGGAAATGTAACGCAGTCTGTTGAAAATTAGAATCAGAAACACCCCAGATTAGTTAAGTCTCTTTCTTTTCCTTTATTTAGTTCTTTATTTTATATGATGCACATATTGAAATATCAAAATCATTTATTTAGCCGAGAAATCTAAAGAACAGCTACAATCTCCCCCACTCCTCTTTTTCCAGTTACTATCTGGAATATTCGGCAATTTCCGAGTATGCGGGTTAGTTAAGCTTTTACTGTTAAAGGATGACTGCATGAAGCAATTTCCCATCTTCTGATTTCAGAAATAGACCTCTTTTTTACTTAAATTACTTTGCTTGGAATATATGTTAAGTAAAAACTGTTATGTAATGAAAGTTTAGAAAATATTCAGAATTTTGATTTAAGTTAAATTATTTAAATATTAATATGAGTCGAAAAATAAATTGTATTTATGATTAGGTGCCAAACGAATACAATTAATATGGCTTATTATTATTTATTTTTTTTATTTTGAACTTAAATTTCATCATTAAATCTTGTAATATAGTTTAGTTCTGCATAATTTTTTTTCTCTCATTGTAAACTAATTCTGTAAATTGAACTCTCATTTAAAATTTAAAAAAAAAAAAAGTTAATTGTTTTCCATGGTTGAAGTAATGCTCATTCTATTAATAAATATTGCATTGCCCATATTTAAAATTACAAGTCTAATTTTTCTTTTAAGGTTATGCAGTTGTGTATAATGTAATTAGACAGGTGCTTATTTTTTCCTTAAAATGTGCTTGAAAAGTGCTTATAGGTGCTTATTTTTTTAACTAAAATGTGGCTACGAACCCTGTAGAAGTAATGAGTGCAGTAAAGGATAGCACCAAGAAAGCACTCCTGAAGAATCATATGTTGAAGTTACGAATTCTGAAAGTGGATCAGAGTTTGAGAAAGAAATTATTAAATTAACTCATACTGGACTGAAAAAGATTAGGAAGAAAGCCTTTATTTGTTTCTATAGTAATTTCTAAACCTAAACCAGTTGTTGATAGTTAGTAATTAGTAAACCTAAACCAGTTGTTGATCTGGATGGTAAAATATTTTGTCACTATTTGGTTGAGTATTATATATTAAATTATGAAGATATATTAGGTGATCTGATGATCAGAACCGAATATAAGAAGGTAATGCCAAATGGCTTTTGACTGACAGTTGATGAAAAAAGTTTTGAAACTGAAAAGTTCTGAAATAGTATAATCAAAATAATTATAAAAAATATGAATCTGTTCCTGTTTTATTAAATGAAAACAAAACTGAAGCTTAATTTGTAAATGGGGACTTAAATAATGGAAATGATTTTTAAAAAAATTGTAATGGAAATGATTTAAATTGGAATAAATTTGTAAATGGAAATGATTTAAAAAAAAAAAAAAATCAGTGTAGCACAAAACCATGGCAGCACAAATGCTAAAGAAAGGAAAAGTTTCATCATCCGTCATCAGTCCAGTGATGCATCATTTAAACAGAACATATCTCAAAGAAATCGTTCCTCTAATGAAAGCTGCCTGTAGGAGACAAAAGGTTTGCTTTATCTGATGAAAGGTTGACTGCATATGGTTTAACAGAAGAAGTTCAAGAGCAAAGTAATATAATCACCCCAAAAATCATTCATAAATAAATTCTTCTATTCTAAGAAAAAAAAACTTTTCTTCGAAAAGTTCTCTGTGAGGAAAAAAGTTTAAGATTGTTGTTTGTGTTGCTATGCTCTCAAATAAATATCCAGCAAGTAATGTAGATGTCCTAGCACTTGAGAGAAGCTTATTTGAAGTTGCATTGAAGATCCTTGTGCTTGAAATGTCTTAGTTTTTTGTCTGAAAAATAAAAAGTTTGTTATTTCATAAAATGATGAAATTTCTTTAAGCACTTCACTACGGCATGTTTCGAATATGTGTGATATTCTGGCAATTTGCGAAATTTTGCCCCTCCCCCTCCCGCCGGGAAAAGAGATAGGAGAAAACAAAAACATAGTGCCAAATACACATATGTGAAAGTACTTCTTCGTGTGTTATTAATAATGCTAATAACTTGTGTGACTTTTATTGACACACAAGTCACTTGTGTGTATTGACTAAATTTGTGCATTCACCTAAACTTTATTGTATGCTAATTTTAACATTTAAACTGAGAAGGTTTGTTGAAATTTAAGCTGCCGGTAATGCTATATTCATGTATTTTAAGTTTAAGAATTTGTTTAAAATTTTGTTATAATGATATTAATTGTTATTTATTTATTCCCCCCTAGCTTGTTACTTGTTCTGGAGCTTTTAAAGAAGGCTCTTTGCGTATTATTCGCAATGGCATTGGAATTCATGAACATGCTAGCATAGATCTGCCAGGAGTGAAAGGCATGTGGCCTTTGAAAGTGGATGGCATTGAATTTGATGATACTCTTATTTTATCCTTTGTTGGGCAAACACGGTATTATTATTATTATTATTATTATTATTATTATTATTTATCTTATTTTCTCATGGGGAAAAAACAGCTTCAGATGGTTTCTGCAAAGCTATTTAATTATTAATATTCATTATGAGCGTTGTAAATATTTGCTGGAACCTTTGCCATTTGGTTATTGTGTGTAACTGTAAGAAAGGTTTTTACCTTGCTTATTCTTCTAGGTAATAGTGGTAGTTAAAAATTAATTTTCCTATGTAAAGAAATTAATAAATAAATACTTTAAGTCCTTGAATATGTAATTATTAACAGGCATTTACTGAAATTTCTTAATAATACTGTTTCTTTGTTTTATGCATTAATTGTTTGGTGTAACAGCTGCTTGCATTTATCAGTTAAGACAGTGCTTTTATTTTAAGGAGGGGGGGATACCTAGTATATGCTCTAAATACTGAAACTGAAGAACAAAATATGCAGATTGTTTTCAATTCAAATTTCATGGGGGAGGAAAAGCTTTCAAAATCACTTTTGGGTTAAATCTTATGGAACTGATGCATGGTTAAGGTGTACATCTAATTTTTTGGGTGGGGTGGGGAATCAGCAGTTCTGGTGACTTTAAAAAAAGAAAGAAAGCTGATAGTTTAAGATTAAGTGTCTTATTCTGCTGCTTTCTTAAGGCATCTTTCATATGTTGGAATATAATACCAAAATAATCGAGTAAGAAAAAATAAGGTTCTATAAGAATTCATAGGTAATAAAATCATTCAAAACTTTAAGAAAAATTATGAAAATATTTAAAGAATTTCAATTTTTGACAAAATATTCTACTAAAAATTATAATGAATGTAGATTGTATATCTAAAGAGTAGTTTTTTTATCATATATTATTTTTATATGTTATTATTTCAAAACTTCATCAGAAAGAAAGAATCCCATTTGACTTACTGAGAGAAATCTTTTAACTATTTACTTCAACAGCATGTCTTAAATGCAGTTTTGATATTATACAGTCAAAAGTCATTAATTCGGACACCCATAATCCGGACCTCAAAGCTACAAACTTTCTGTGCATGCGTCGCGTTGACGCATGCGCGTAAGACCTTTACGGCTGCGAATATGCGTGTGCGCGCAAAATACGTTTACGAATGCGCGTTTAATGTATAACGGACAGTATAAGCTAAGCTAAAATTATCTATTTCAGTTAATGTTGCAGATTGCGTTGTTCCTTAATCTTCGAATTGGATTCGGCTTATTATTTTTTGCAGACTGTTAGAGCAATTTTATAAAAGTAAGCTTGAACTTTCGATTATGTCAAATAGAATTTCTGATATATATTTATTAATATGTAAAGGATCTACAAAGCGAAAGTATGTTTCGAAGTCCATTAAACAAAAAGTGGAATTGCTGCAAAAAATGGATAAAGGCATATCCTTTGTTTATCTAACTTTAACGTTTATTTTCTAAACTTTGTTTATCTTTAATGCGCGGCGTGCGCAATGAATTGGAAGTTGATCTGTCAGCACTATCCTTATCTTCAGGGCAGATGTTTTTATTTTATTTGGCTTATAATTCCTTACTAAATGTAGTATTTCATCTCGATGTACTCTTTGATATGATTTAAATCAAATTCCTCGTCATTATAATTCGCTTCCGATAGTAAAGAAAGTGACAGAGGTTATTGAAAACAAAAAAATTTCGATTGACAAATTAGTCGGTATTCTCGACACAGCAATTATAGGACTTGAACAGCGGAACTTTGTAACTGAACAAGAAATTATGTCTGTTTATAGAATTAAAGAGAATGTATTATCACATAAAAAACGAAGCAACTTAAACAACTTACATTGAAAGAAATGTTTAATAAAGTAAACAAATAAATATTAAGCTTTTTTTTTTTGTAAATTTTGATACCCTTTAGATCATAATTGTTCTTTATTTCATAATATACGGTTTCATATTTTTAGTTTTACAATTTCTGCATGCCATCTTACCAGATTTAAACTGATGATCTATAACCCGTAAAAATCGATAATCCGGAATCGCCGAAGTACCGACGAGTCCAGATTAATGACTTTTGACTGTATTTGTAATTTCAGATTTTGCCTAGTGACAGTAAATTTACTATTATTTTATGTGTCTAGCTATCTCAAGCACTAGGAAAGGTTTCCTTCAAAATTGTAAGGAAACTTATTTATAATAATAATGTTCTTAATAAACAAAATATTACCCATAAGCTGGGTTTACAAAAATTAAAGACAACATGCCCACTTTGGCCTGTACATATTATTGCATCCGCCTTGGTAAAAGTTGCCAAACTGCGCTAATTCGTAAGTACCAACACTTTTAAACCTTATCTTTGTTTGGAAAGATTTCTCAATCTAGAAGGTAATAAATTCACACACATCAACCTTTTTCACGTGCTCATCTTTGGTAGGTTTTCTTTTCTAGTGTATATGGCACCATTAAAAGGCTATTTTTAAGTAACATTTTAATGGTGCCATCTAAGACATAAATAAATAAGTAAAAAGTGTAGATTGCGTACTACATCAGTGCTAAATTTTTTGGTGTGGATAGTTAGTAATTCTAACCTTGAATTTACGGATCAGCTGTATTTTGTAGAACTAAATATTTATGTAAATCTAAATTTAAATTGAAGTCAGAAGTTAAATATTAATCATTATGTTTATTTAGTGTATTATTTATGAGCAAAATTTATCATTGTCGCTCTCGGTGTAATTCACAGTTTTACTATGATTTAATTTTGTTAGATGATTGGTTATTCAGTTGATGTTTAAGATACAGTATTTTTAAAGTATATGAAGTTACCTATAATGTTATATAAGTACATTGCTCTAAATCTGCTGCAGAATTTATGTTGCTATAAACAGGGTTCGTAACGTTCCTTATAAGTGCTTGTAAGTCTTTATATTTGAAAATAAATTATAAAAGCACTTATAGGTGCTTTTTTCTTTTTTAGTGCCTTTTTTTCTGTAGCAAAGCGGCAACTAAATAAACAACTTTCTCATCTGGATGGTCAGATTGTGAATCATACTTCCGAAAATAGCTTTCTCCCCATTAACGTAACCTTTAACTCGTGCGAGTAGAGACAGGTGAACGTCGTTCTATTGATCAAAGAGTTGTGAAAGGGGTAAAAAATTCAGGTATATTTCACATACTTTTCCTCCCATCCACAGACTATAGACGTTCCTAATCCCACGAGGTCAGTTCATATTCGCGTTTTACGATCGTTATCGAATATGTGGGAATATTTATAATATATCTGCAGTAAATGCTGAAATGGGTAAGTGTGTTTTTAACACAGATTGGCTTTCAAAGGAAGAATATTCTGAATGGCTTAAAAAAAAGCGAAAATAATCGCAAGGCCATGTGTTCCTGGTGTAAAACTGAAATCAACATAGCAAGTATGGGAGAGTCTGCTTTAAAGTGTCACATGGATCGTAAGTAAACTTTTTTCTATTTAATAATTATTAATTCTTGTGTGAAAATAAAAAATTTAAATCTCCCATGGACCGCTGATTTATTTATTTTTAAATTTTCATTTTCTGCTTTTGAAATGCTTTTGTCATACTGTTCATTTACTATATTCCCACCTCTTCCTATTATTTTTATATTTCATGTGTATCTTCAATTTTGGGCTTACATTTTCAATTTTTTTGCCAGTGCATTCTACGATACGGAAGAGAGGGGTCATAAGGTTCCGGATCTTCCTCCCCTTTCTGCAAAAAATCTCGGATATTCAAACCGTTACAGTTCGCAGCAAAGCGACTAAAGTACTTATTTTTATTTATTAAAAGTTCTGCGGTCTACCAAACCAAGCGAAGCGTGATTATATTCCAGAAATTTAACACAGTCTGTTCAAAATTACAATCTAAAACTCTCCAGATTTGTAGGTCTCATTCTTTTCCTTTATTTAGTTTTTTATTCTCCAAATACTGGCAGCTGTTGATTGCGTAATAACACTTGCGAAAGAATTAAGGTGCGCGTATTGCGCAATACCTTTTACTATATTTTGCAAAGATAATTAGTTTTGCTATTCAATCTTGAATTTGTTTATAAGCACTTAAAATAGTTTTACTGTGCTTGCTAAGCAGAATATCCAGTTTGGTTGGCTTTTTTTTTTTTTTTTTTTTTTTTTTTTTTTTTTTTTTTTTTAAGTCAAGAGCAACATGTGTTATCTACTGTATATTAAATTAAGATGTTTATTATATTTTGCATTCTAAATATTGCGATGTGGCGAAAGATACAGAAATATTCTTAAAAATGATATTTAATGCGTATGTCGAAATGCCCAAAGGATTTAGCCGAAAAATCTAAAAAACGACTACAATCTAATCCCATCTTTTTCCTGTTACACTCCACAATCCGGAATTTTCAGATATCCGTCAATCGGCAATTTTTGAGCATGCCGGTTAGTTAAGCTTTTGCTGTATAAAGGATGACTGAATGAGGCAATTTCAGAAATATCCCCTCCCTTTTTTTTTTTTTACTTAAATTACTTTGCAATATCTGTTCAGAGAAAACTATCCTATAATGAAAATTTAGAAAATGTTCAGAATTTTGATTTAAGTTAAATTATTTAAATATTAATATTAGTGGAAAAGTAAATAAATGTACAATAAATTCTATTTATTTCTAGGTGCCAAGCATAAAAAATTTCTGAAGGAGAAAACTATGGCTATTTGTGGAATAACAAGCTTTTTTCCCAAATCAAATCCTGCTAGTGTTGCACCGTCCAGTTCCCCAAGTGCTTCGGGAAATTCCAATGTTTTAGATGATGCTTTGGGAGCTTCAAAAGATGTTTTGGATACTGAAATTTTGTGGTGTTTGAAAGTGGTGACAAGTCATTACAGATCTAGCAGTGACATGGTCAAAATTTTTTCAATTATGTTCCCTGACAGTGTTATAGCAAGACGCTTTTCTTGTAGTGAGAGAAAGCTTGCTTATCTTTGCCATTTTGGATTAACACCTTATTTTCAGAGGCTCATGTATGACGAATTTAAGAAGCTATCTCACTTCACATTGTTATTTGACGAGACTTTGAATAAAACAAATCAAAAAAAGCAATTAGATTTGCATATCAGATATTGGCATCCTGACCAAAATAAAGTTGTAACTCGATTTTTGACCTCTGTTTTAATGGGGCATGCAACAACTGCTAATATTTGAAAGTTTTCAAATGGCAGTTAAAAAACTAGTTATAAAGAAGCTGCTAGAAATAAGTATGGATGGGCCAGTCGTAAATTGGAAGTTTTATGAAACCCTCTAACATGAATTGAAAAAGGAATATGGCATTGAATGTATATCTATTGGTAGTTGTGGTTTGCATATTTTGAACAATGCTTTCTGTAAAGGAGCATCCACTACAAGCTGGGATATACCTTCCATTTTAGAAGCACTGTACCATCTATTCAAAGATTCTGCAGCACGTCGAGAAGGTTTTTTAACAGCGAGTGTGCATAAGACTTTGCCATTAAAATTTTGTAACCATAGGTGGCTAGAAGAATGTACCAATATGTTTGCGTGCTTTTGAGATTTGGGAAGATATAAAAGGTTATGTCAAGCTAATTGAGAATGGAAAATATGCAAAAATAACTTGTGAATCTTATGAAATAATAAGAAACGCAATTAAAGACAAATTAATGCCTGTAAAATTACTTTTTTTCATTTGTGTGGCTGAAGCTGAATTGGTCAAACCCTTTTTGGAACTTTACCAAAGTGATGAACCACTTGTTCCTTTTTTTTTTTTTTTTTTTTTTTTTTTTTTTTTTGCTTGCTTTTGATTTGCACAAATTAGTAAAGCAACTTTTGCAGCATTTTAAAATTATAAAAGAGGAGCACATGTTAAAAATCAGTTCATCACTAAAATATTTATGTAACTTTGATTTTTCAGAGAAAGGTATTGTTAATAAATAACCAAAATTTGTTTGGAATTTAATGCTGATAAGCTCTTGCAAGAACTATACGCTAAAAAAGAAATCATGGATAAAGATTACCTAACGTGACTCACAAACTTTTATTTTACAAATGCTTGAAAAGCTGATTGAGAAATGTCCAGTTAAATTATTCACTGATTCGAAATGCTGTTTCTGTGAATCCAAATTATATGGTGCAAAACAGCACAAAAGCATACGAGAAAATGAAAAGTATATTGATGCATTTTTCCCAAAAAGATCGTATTGCAGAAGAAGAATGAAAATGTTGTCCAGCCAGACCTTACAGAATTTAAAACCTATGATGTGAGAAAAATGAGATTAGATACTTTTTTGCACACATTCATTAATGGAAAATACTTCAAGTTGTGGGAAGCATTTAAAATTATCTTTATTCTTTCCCATGGGCAAGCCTCTGTTGAATGAGGATTTAGCATCAATAAAAATATAGAAACAGAAAATCGGGGGGGGGGGGAATTCGTACATTGCGCAGTGCATAGTTTGTGATTATGTGAAACATGCTGGTGGGATAGATACACAATGTGTCAATTACGAAAGAGATGAGAGTGGCAGCTACATCAGCTCATTCACAGTACCAGTTATATTTGGAAGAGCAGAAGAAAAAAAAAAAAAAAAAAAAGAAAGAAAGAAATTATTGAAAAAAAAAGAAAAAAAAAAGAAAAGCAGCAGAATCAACAAATGAATTGATTTCTCTTAAAATAAAGAAAACTCTCTTAGAAAAAGAAGTGCTTGAAAATAAAGCAAATGAACTTGCTGAAAAGGCTGAAGTTACAAAAGTAACTTTTTAACTTTTAAATAAATCTAATGAAATGTTAAAAACTATTTGTGAAAAACAAACTCTCTTAAGAGATTTGGATTCAAATATTAATGAAAAAAAAGAAAAAAAATCAAAAAGAAAAGTAATATTACTAATTATAAGCATAAATTATTAAATTAAAATTTAATTAATAAGGCATAAATCTTTTTTTCTTGTTTCTTTTTTTATGTTGTTAAGTACTTTGTATGAATATAATAAATACAGTTTATTATTATTAATTTTCCTTAAACTGATATTTCATCGTTAAATCTTGTAATATAGTTTAGTTTTACATAGGATCCTCCCCCCCCTCATTGTAAACTAGTTCTATAAATTGAACTGTTATTTGCAATTAAAAAATAATTGCAATTGTTTACCATGGTTGAGTAATGTTGATTCTCTCTTTAAATACTGAATTTCTCGGATTTTGAATTACGGTTAACTCTCACTTTTATTTTAAGGTTATGCAGTTGTGTATATATGAAATTAAACAGGTTTTTTTTTTTTTTTTTTTTTCCCCCCCTCTTAAAATGTGCTTGAAAAGTGCTTATAGGTGCTTATTTTTTTAACTTAAATGTGGCTATGAACCCTGTATAAAATTATGTGATTTTGTATTTTTTGTTCTAGGTTTTATTTTTGTTTAAAATCTTGGATAAAATTGTTAGTTTAACCTCTACAGAGTAATTTGTAGTTAATGTGAAATAATATTTTTAGGGTTTTAACGCTTAGTGGAGAGGAAGTTGAAGAAACTTACCTTAGTGGATTTGATGTCAGTCAACAAACATTTCTGTGTGCTAATGTTCGTTTTGATCAAATTGTTCAGGTATGTTAATTGATGAATATTTTATTTTTTATATTGCTGTCTTATGCAGTAAAAATGCATTTACTTTTTAATACATTTGCTAATGAAACTGACATGTATGCATTTTTTTAGTTTATTGCATTTATGTTACTCTATATTTTACCACATCTGGAGATTATTGACATATTTTTTGTAACTTTATCTTTCTATCAGGACATAAGAATTTTATTCAAAAGTAGTTTTTTTTTTTTTTTTTTTTTTTTTTTAAGAGTATCAATGCAGATTTAAAAATGCTTGATGTGAAAAAAATATAGAATATCAAAATAATGATACATCAGTTTAGTAGCATGTATTGATTGAGATATGAATGACAAGTTTGGATAAATATGGTACTTCTAAAATACTAGGCAAAGATGTAAAGAGTAAAATAAGCAGATTTTGGAATGGAATATGTGTGGGGAAGTAGTGCTTGTAAGGAGGTTATGAATAACTGGTAAGTAAGAAACACAAGAAATGTTAAAAGAAACAAACCTTTTAGGGATAAGTGCTTGAAAGTGCAACTACCAACATTAATATAAGATAACACAGCAGCGGTGCATGAATCTGGATACATTAGCAAAGATCATAGGCATTTCATAGCCGTTTCCAGTAGTAACTCACAATCTGGCTTTTCATCAAATTCAATGTCACTTTAAAAGATCATATTCTTAATGTGTCCCCAGAAGATGAAATCCATGCGTGTAAAGTCTAGTGATCATGATAGGCAGGGAGCATGTCTGCCTTGTCCAATGCAGTGGGGAAGTTCTGTGATATCACCTGGTTAATATACTGAAACATTTGTCCATTTAGTAGCCGTGTACTTACAAATCATTCTGTGTCCATCTTTTAATTGGCTGCTCCATTTCATCTGCACTCCTATAGATAAAATGCATAACAGCAAGCTCACGTAATCATACCTGAAATCTTCATAGTATTTCAAGCATCTGAAATAAATCATTATTAATTATTATTATTAATCATTATTAATGATTTATGCCAGTGTACCACTTTTACCCGTGCACTGATCTCAGCAGTAGGCGTTACTGCTGAGATCAGTATGCAGGTAAAAGTCATTCCACTCTTACGTGTCATCCTCTTAATGTGTCATTTCCACTGACCCCGGTAAAAAAAACTGCTTATCTGTCTTCACATTTTTGCCAGATACAGTCAAAAGTCGTTAATTCGGACACCCATAATCCGGAATAATCTATAATCCAGACCTCAAAGCTAAAACCTATCTGCGCATGCGCCGCGTTGACGCATGCGCATAGGCATTTATGCGTGCGTGCAAGACCTTTACAACTGCGCATATGCGTCTGCGCAAGCGCAGAATACGTTTTCGCGTGCACGTTTAATGTATAACGGACGGTATAAGCTAAAATTATCTAATTATCTATTTCAGTTAATGTTGATGATTGCGTTGTTCCTTAATCTTCGAGTTGGATCCGGCTTATTATTTTTTGCAGACTGTAAGAGCAATTTTATAAAAAGTAAGCTTGAACTTTCGATTATGTCAAATAGAATTTCCGATGCTGGAGCTCCCAAAGGATCTAGAAAACGAAAGTATGTTTCGATGTCCATCAAACAAAAAGTGGAATGGCTACAAAAAATGGATAAAGGCATATCCTTTGTTTATTTAACCGTTCCAAAATCTATTTTTCAATTTCACGCTGCTCTGCGCGGGGGGGGGGACGTCGTGGCGCGCAATTAACTGGAAGTTGATCTGTCAGCACTATCGTTATCTTCAGGGCAGATGTTTTTATTTTATTCAGCTTATAATTCCTTACTAAATGTTGTATTTCATCTCGATGTACTCCGTCTTTGATATGATTTAAATCAAATTCCTCATCATTATAAATATCACGAATACAAATCAAATAGTTTTCTGGTTGCAATTTTCTAATTTCGGCTATGCGTAATGTATGCTTTACGCATGTGCGCGTTGAAAGAAATGTTTAATAAAGTAAACAAATAAATGTTAAGCTTCTTTTTTTGTAAATTTTGATACCCTTTAGATCATAATTGCTCATTATTTTATAAATTACGGTTTCATATTTTTAATTTTATAATTTCTGCATGCCATCTTACCAGATTTAAACTGATGATCAATAATCCGGAATCGCCGAAGTCCCGACGAGTCCAAATTAAAGACTTTTGACTGTATTTTTTAATCACCCTATATAAATTTTCTCTTTAAGAAAAATCAATATTTAGGTTTTAATATCAGCTGCGATTGACCTGTGGGTCTTTGGCCCCTTTATTGTGGCAGACAGTGCAATAAAGAGTAATTGTATTTTTGTAATAAAAACAGAAATTGCCCCACTACATGTTCTTTTAACAATTAAGTAATTTAATTTCTTATAAATTATGGTGTGTATATATATATATGTTAGGCATATTTTATATTTTGTTTTTAAAAAAATAGTTTTGTAATTATATATAGTAAATTTAAGCAATTTATAAACTTGCTTCATGTACTAATCATCAAATTAAGAAACAAAAGGCAAATAATCCCATAACATTAAGAAAATCAGTAGATAATTGACATAGATTTCACTTCTTCAAGCACATTAAAATAAGACACCTATGTTAGTTACCATTGAAATTGACAAAGGTTGATATAAAATCTACATAGTTTTACATTTGTTTCTCTGTTCATATAGAATTAAGTTTCAGTGATATATTACCATGGCAATGTTACTTTTTCATCTGCTAAGGGCTGTTGGGAAAATAGAAAAGTCAGGATGTGACTTAAATCTTACTGTCTGGTGATAGAAATATCTACTGCTCTAACTGAGAAGAAGCAAACTGTATCTAATGGCCCAGTTCTGTAATAAATTAACTAAATGATTTAAAACCAGACTTGATCTCTTTGTTAGTTGGTCCCTCGTGTCAGTTATGTGGAAAAAATTAAACCAATATTTTTTTAAGCAAAAAATATAGTGAATTGACAGCTTGTTTAAACCAATTTCTTTTCTTTGTAGAAAGCTTTTACCCATCTTGATCATTTTATATTTCCAGGGTTCGTAGCGGTTCTTACAAGTGCTTATAAATCCTTATATTTGAAAATAAAAATATAAAGGCCCTTATAGGTGCTTACGTTTTCTTTAAAGCCCTTATTTTTTGTTTTTAGTGCTTTTTTTAATGAATGCGCATTTTTCCCCCGTACCAAACCGAAACTAAATAAACAACTTTTCTTCCTTATATGGAACGTCAGATGGTGAATCATACTCCCGGAAATAGCTTTTCCCCCTTTCTCTGCATTAACGTAACCTATGGTGCACGAGAGTACAGACAGGTGCACTATTGATCAAAGAATTGCGAAAACCGTACAAAATTCCGGTACATTCGGTATTCTCTTCCTCCCACCCAAATACTACACCCACCCATTTGAATTTCTATCAAGATTTTAATAATTTGCATTCTCGTTCCGCATGATCAGTTCATATTCGTGTTTATTATGAACATATGTATGAACATTTATAATAATATAGTTGCAGTAGCTGCTGAAGTGTAGATAAACTTCCAAAAATGGGTGTATTTGTACACAGATTAGCTTTGTAAGGAATAATATTCGGAATGGCTTAAATAAAAAAAAAAGTAATCGAATAGTCAATTTTTTTTTTCGCCAATACATTAAGTACGGAGGCTGAAAGGTTCTCCCCCTTCACTTTTTTTTTTTTTTTTTTTTTTTTTTTTTTTTTTTTTTTTTTTTTGGTCACTGTCCAATCTGGATTGAATAGGACTAAAAGTTTTTGCGGTCTACCCATCCCAAGCGAAGAATGATTCTATTCCGGAAATTTAAGACAGTCTGTTCAAAATTAGAATCAAAAACACCCCAGATTAGTAAGTCTCTTTTCCTTTATTTAGTTCTGTATTCTTCAAATACCGGCAGCTGTTGATTCCGATTCCGATTGCGTAATATCACGTATGGAAGAATTACGTCGCACATATTGCGCAATATTGTTTGCAGTATTTTGCAGAGATAATTAATTTTGATGTTCAGTCTGAGATTTATTTATGAACACTTAAAAGAGTTTTACTGTGCTTTCTAAGCAGAATATTTCTCAGTTCCGTTGGTCTATTTTTATATGATGCACATATCGAAATGTCAAAATCATTTATTTAGCCGAGAAATCTAAAGAACGGCTTCAATCTTTCCCCCCCCCTCCTCTTCTTCCAGTTACGCTCGACTATACGGGATATTCGGCAATTTCCGAGTATGCGGGTTAGTTAAGCTTTTACTGTTAAAGAATGACTGTATGAAGCAATTTCCCGTCTCCTGATTTCAGAAATGTTCCTCTTTTTTACTTAAATTACTTTGCTTGGAATATATGTTAAGAGAAAACTGTTATGCAATGAAATTTTAGAAAATGTTCAGAATTTTGATTTAAGTTAAATTATTTAAATATTAATATGAGTGTGAAAATGTATTTATTATTAGGTGCCAAGCGATAAATAATAAAAAGCCATTAATATGGCTTTTTATTATTTATTTTCTATATTTTGAACTGAAATTTCATCATTAAATCTTGTAATATAGTTTAGTTCTGCATAGTTTTTTTTTCTCTCATTGTAAACTAATTCTGTAAATTGAACTGTTATTTAAAATTTAAAAAAAAAAAGTTAATTGTTTTCCATGGTTAAGGCAATGCTCATTCTCTTAATAAATATTGCATTGCTCATATTTTAAATTGCAAGTCTAATTTTTCTTTTAAGGTTATGCAGTTGTGTATAATGTAATTAGACAGGTGCTTATTTTTTCCTTAAAATGTGCTTGAAAAGTGCTTATATGTGCTTATATTTTTAACTCAAATGTGGCTACAAACCCTGATTTCCAAAGAAGTATTATGTTCAGGTTAAGAGTCAAGGAAAAAGAACTTGATTATTCTTCACTCAAGGGAAACACAATTCTGAGTTTTGTAAAACCCATATGCCTACTTTTGTGTTTGATTTTTCTTTTTAAACTAATTTTCAGTACTTATAAGAATATAAAAATTTCAAAACCAAAATAAGATGCCTGAAATGTTTTGCTCAGTCGATAGTTATTAGAAAACAAAAATTTGGAAACCAAAAGAAAAAGCCTGGGCTATTTTTATTTGTAGAAAAAGGGAATGTTCACTAAATTGCATAAAAGTTTAAAATTTGTATATTGTTGGAACATACCTACCTGAACCTTTAACAATAATTATGTATTTATACATGTAAAATATCTACTGACTTGAAAAATATGTGATATATTTTAATATCTTTCTATTCAAAAATTATTTTATTACATTTAAAATATCTTTTTATAAATATCTAGTTGATACTATTAGTTTTCATGGATTCTAAAATGCAGCAAAGATGTATTTTTATTCTAAATGTTCAGAAAATGTTAAGTAACATTTTTGCAAAAGTTTGTTTTAGTGTACAAATTTTTAAATTTAAAGCTTTTAATTTTGTGTAATAGATTTAAAACTGCTGTTTTATTAGACAGTTAAATTTAGGCAATAAACAAGTAGGAGTATTTGTTGGTTTTGCTAGTGACCTTGATTAATCAACAAACCCTAAACCTTAATTAAAACCAAGTAATTAAAATTATGGAATAATTTTATTTTATTCAAAATGATGACAATTTTCAATTTGCCATCAAGTGAAAATGAAACTATAAGGAGCATTTTACCCCCCAAATTTGCAAAAACAAGCATGAATATAACTTTATAAATAAGAACTTGTATTTTTGGAAATAGAATAAGTTCATTTTTTACATTTCCATTAAAATTCCTCTTTGTTGGTGGTAAATTGGTGATATTTTTTTGTCAATGTCAGTAAGTTTAGCAGGAAAAAAAAAAGTCTCAAAGTTTAGTGACTTGCGTACTAAACTTGGTGATGTTTTTTCCTTAGCACCTTGGTCACAGGTAAAGCCCAAGTACCCAAGTAAGTTGTTGGCAATAACTGTCTCCAAGCATCAGCAAGTAATTGATTTTTAACATGCTTCCTATTGTAATTGAATATTTCTGTTTAGGTTACAGCTACTTCAATTCGTTTGATTAATAGATCCAATAAAAAGTTACTGAGTCAGTGGATGCCACCACCTGGGCAAAATATCTGTGTTGTTTCAGCAAATATGTCTCAGGTTGTTTGTGCTATACGGAATGAATTGTATTATTTTGAAATTTATGAAGAGGAAATAAAGCAAGTAGGGTAATGTTTGTTTGTTTATCATCTTATTTTTAAAAATTTTAACCCTTGTATCCATTGTGCTTGAAAATAAAGAAATCTTGTTGCAAATAATATTGACTTAATTGCATATGCATATTTTCATTATAATTGTGTGCTTATCTTGTCTGTTCGCTTTCTGTTTAAAAGGCATGCAATAATGGATTACGAAGTAGCATGCTTGGATGTGAATCCATTAGACTGTTCTGATAAAACTCAAATATGTGCTGTTGGTTTGTGGACAGATATTTCAATTCGTATTCTGAATCTACCTTCTTTGAGAGAAATGCAAAAAGAAATGCTTGGAGGTGGTAAGTGTCTTATAATAGGTCTCTTTATATATATATATATATATATATATATTTATGTGTTATGAACTTAAATCCATTTAGTGCGAATATAAGTTATTATTACTTGCGCAATTGCTGCAAAGTTAGTTAATAATAATTTATTTCCTAAACAATATTGATTAATTGATTATATTATCTCCTAAGTTTAATTAAAGTAGAATTATTTTAAAAGAGTGAATCCATACTGGTAAGTTATATTTTGAAAGATGTTTTGAAGTAATTTGAAAGCAAAATGTTAATAATGTTTTAACGGGGACTGGAGTTAAATCATCATGAAGAATAAAATTTCAATTGTAAAAGGAAAAATTAAAACATGTAATCATTGTCATTGATCGGAAATTAGTTGACTTTTCAAGGGGAACAAACCAACTCCCGTTCAATGAACAATAATTGATAAAAATACGTAAATACGAAAGTGTTTCGTCTTTACTCGAGTTATAAGTTAAAGCCAAACCGGCAATTCTAGTCAGGCCAAATATTTCCGCGAATAGGATCCAATGCTTATACTCAAAGAACTTATTCTTATGAAGCATTTTAGTCAATTCAATTTGGAGTAAAAATCAATTACTGTAGAGAAATCCGATAAACCTCGAGTAACCGTCCCCGACACTTCATGTTTATGCATTTGAGTTACTATATTATTTGTAGAAATTAAACATTGGAAATTGTTCATTATGAAATCGAATTCAAAGTAAAGTTGAAATAAACATAGAAGATTACAAAATAAGATAAATAATGCAAACTTTGTAAAAACAAATCAAAGAATAAATAATATAAAAATATAAAAATAATATAAATAAGATCAGTGAATGTACATGAAGATATAAAGGCCAGAAAAGGTATTAAGTAACTTACATTCTTTCTAGTGGGGAGTTGGCAAAGTGTTTCTCTTCGTGTCTGACTCAGAAGTGTTAGGGTGTCCGAAAATTCTTAGCGGCAGTAGGGGCTTTGAATAATATCAGTCGGTAAGACTTGGGTGAAGTAATTTATGGTAGTGGGTTGGGACTTGGAATTCTTGAGGGATGTATTTTGTGGAGTTCTTATTCTGAGAGAGACTGTCTGTTAAGATTTTTTTGAAAATACTAGTGAATGGAAATTAATTAATTTCTGGCTAATTGTCGTGTCGCAATGATTAAGAATTTAAGAAAGGAAAAAGGAATTTTCACTGTCCAAGAGCTATTAGACAGACTAAAGGCATGAAATAGGCCCATTTTTTTTAGTAACAGTATATGTCTGAAGACAATTAGCTTTTTACAATATATACAATTGAGTAATTACACTATATACAAATCTTTCAACTGACAGTCATCCAACTTATACCGCCTTCTCAGGTTTAGGAATAAATTATCATATCCCTATCAGTTATATTTTTGTATATATTTCATTCATGTCTTGTGTAATTATAAAATCATAAAGTTAAATTAATATTTTCCTGTTAAGGGACAGCTGTCACAAAAAAGTGGTAACCTGTTTATATCACATTATGAATAGTTGCGGCTGTATTGTCATTAAAAATAAGCAAGGAGAATGAACAGCAATAATTTTTCTTCTCCTCTTTTTTCCGTTACTTAAACCAATGAATTATCATCTATCAATGTGAACAATTATGTGTATATTGATTAATGAAATTGCAGAATAAAGAGAAAGTGTTTAATTATTATACTAATAATTAATTGTTTGTTGTTTAATTACAGTATTTAAATGTACTACTTAAGCAATTACTGTATGCATAAACTAATAACTTAAGCTTGCATCTATGTCACTGGTATGCCTTAAAGCAAATTGAAAGTAATGAATATCCTTGAGCCTTAACAAACATTACTGTTATTTCAAGGAAATTCTCCGAATGTAGGAGGGGGGAAGTAAGATTCTCAGAATTGCTGCAACATGAAATACATATTCATTACCTTTTTATTTCTTAAAATCTATTACAAAGCATTGGAAGAGTCTTATTTTTAAGTAGTCATATATTTATTCAAATTACTAGCATCACAGCACAGTATAAAGATGTTATCATGAAATGAGTGCAATGATTTCATTGCTTTATATTCCTTAGCATGAATGTTATTTATTTAAAAGGTGTAGCATTTGAGAACACAATGTCTCTTGGTTCTTTATTTGCTGTTTTAATTTATACAGCAAACAAAATTTTTTATGAAATTTCTGAAGTTAATAATTAACTTGGTAAGAATAAAATTATACTGTATTAAAATTAATGAAAAATAATTATCTTTTGAATTACAAAGATTTTGAATTGTTTTACAGTATATTCTAACATCAGATATATGTTATTTAGCAATAAATTGAAATTCAAATCATTGAAAAGCTTATCTAATTCTAATCTTAGTAAAACTTATACTGATGCAATAATGATTAATGTTAATTATGCTTATTTTTAGAAGCTTGCATACTTTGAAGAGAACGTAAAAAAATGTTTTCACATAGCATTTCATCATTCAAGTATTATTATCGCAAGTATATTTCATAGTTTGCATGTGATAATTTCAAAATAATTTGAAAAAATTCTTTCATTTTTACCAAAAAGTATCATATGTGATAGAGGGAAGGGAGGCGAATTCTATGAATGCAATTTTTTTTTTCATGCTGTTGAATGATATATATGATTTATGAACCACTGAAGTATTTTTGGTACTTTATTATAGAAACTCCCAAAATTTAATCGCTAATCAACTAAGATGTAACATGTAATGAGCTATAAGATCACGTGGCTAGATTTCAGTGAGATGTCTAAGTTGATTATGACGTAAAACACTTTTTGTAGCCTTGCAATGTCACAACAAAATTAACAAAAGTAGAGAGTAAAATATTGTCTCTTACCGTGTATCCAGCGCAGCATCAGCGAGATCATAGCCAATTAACTTAATCCAAAAAGAGGTTGAAGACGGAAATTGAAAGATCACAAACACATTTTATTGATACATGAAAATAGGTTAAGATTCATGAGTATTCCAAATATATATCAAAAATGCAGTTATATAATGGAGAGTGTCATATCACTGTCCTTTCCTGAAAGTAAGGAAGAAACAAGTTAACAATTAACTCCAGTGCAAAAAATGTTTCCAGTTCATAATGTTTATCGTGCTATTGGCGACAGCCCATCACTATTTGCATACCAACACTCCTACTTGATGGGCAGCATCGCCATTTGCAGCGATTCTCAAAGTTTCTTGAACACAGTCTTGCTTAGTGGTTTGGTGAGTAGATCTGCAATCATGTCGGAGCTTTTGCAGTAGTCTAGCCTCAGGATCTCGTTTTGAAGTTCACGCAGATAGTGGTATTTGGCATCTATATTTTTTGTTGTGGAGCTATTTTTCCCCGTCTTTGAAAGTTTGAGGCATGACTTCATATCTTCATAGAGAGTAATCAGCAAATTTTTTTTTTAGTCCTAGATCTTTAAGCAAATTTAACAGCCATTGTGCTTCTTGTGCTGTATTAGCTGATGCAATATATTCTGGTTTAGTTGGAGATAGTGCAATGCAGTTTTGCATTTTGCTGCTGCATGAAATGCTGTTATTTCCTAGTTTGAATATGTATCTGCTAATGTATTTTCTTGTTGTTCTGTCATTGGCCCAATCTGCATCTGAATATGCAGTTAGTATAGGTTCTTGAATTTTGTTGAAGACCAACTAAAAAGTCTTTAGTTGTATATAAGTATCGAATGACTTTCTTGACAGCATTCCAATCTATATTCCAAGGTTTTTCATTTCTTCTACTTAGTAGATTGACGGTGCATGCTATATCCGGTCTGCTGATTGTTGCAGTGTATAATAATGCCCCTACTGCTTGTCTGTATTCTTTATTATCCTTTAGAAGATCATCTTCAGCTTCTGGTTTGCAGTAGTTTGTTTGCATTGGCGTATATGTTGGTGTTTCGTTTTGTAGTCCAAATTTTTTAATTATTTCTTCTATGTTATTATTTTTGTTTATGACAAAAGTTCCATCTTTCGATCTTTCGATGTTTATGCCAAGGTAGAGGGTGATTTCTCCTAGGTTTTTGATTTCCAATTTAGCGTTTAATTGTTGGATTGTTTCCATTACATCTTCATCTCTTTCACTTCCTATAAGCATATCATCTATATATATATAATATTATATATCTGAATTTTCCATTGATGGTTTTGAAAAACAAGCATGGGTCTGCTTGACTTTGTTTAAATGATATGTCCAGAAGTATTTTTCCAATTTTCAGATTTCAAGCTCTAGTGGCTTGTATTAAACCACATATAGATTTCTTCAGTTTGCAGACTTTATTTTCATTAACAGCTTTTGAGTATCCTTCAGGTTGAGTCATGCAAATTTCTTATTCTAGTTCTCCATGAAGGAAAGCTGTTTTGACATTGATATGTCTAACAGACATGTTTTTATACAAAGCTGCACATAGGAAAGCTCATAGAGCTGTGTATTTTACTACAGGAGGAAAGGTTTCATCATAGTCAGATCTGAACTTCTGGCTAAATCCTTTTGCGACTAATCTGGCTTTGTATCTTTCAAATTTTTCTTCTGCATTGAGCTTGGTGTTGAAAGATCATTTACATCCGATTGGTTTTCTTCCTTTTGGTAAATAGACTAATTCCCAAATGTTGTTTTCTTCTCAAATAGCTGTAAGCTTTTTTTTTTTTTTTTTTTTTTTTTTTTTTTTTTTCCTCTTCCAAAGTTTGAATTTCCTTCCAGGCTTTTAGGTTCAGGAGAGATTGGATATATTGCATGGAATACATAGCGATCAGGGGGTTTACCACATCTCTGTTCGATCTTCTGACTTCCAAAGATTTTGATATTTCTTCATTTTCAGGTTCTTCAATTTTTATTTCTTCCTATGCTGAGTTTTCTTCCTGAGGATTTTTTCATTCTGGTTTAAAGACACACTTACAGGCTTGTTAGTTTCAGCTTCTTCATTAAATCATACAGATCGACTTATTATGATTTTGTCTTCAGGTCTGTAG